AATGCATGACCTTACTATTATTCAGCCATTATTCATCGATTTAGTCTTGATACGCTTTCAAAACATGCGTTAATTTATTGATTTCTATAATTCACAATGGAAGAATGTCTAAAATTTTTGTCTGTGATTAAAGTGGTCCTCTCTATATATAGTGGCGCAATTCCAACACACACATCAGAACCTGTACGTGTTGTATGAACATCAGAACCTGACGTACCTAAAAGAATAAAATATTAAATATCACCTCCACTTCGTACGTGAAACAATGCAATACAATAAATCATCGTACCATAAATCATCTCCACTTCGTACTTGTAATGATGATATATCAATTACATTTCGTTCCTGTATTATTAATGCATGACCTACACTATACCTCACTATTAGTCAGCCATTATTCATCAATTTAGTCTTGATACGTTTTCAAAACATACGTTAATATATTGACTTCAAAAATTCAAAACGGGACAATGTCTAAAAATTTAATCTATGATTAAAGCGGTCCTCTCTTTATATAGTGGCACACTTCCAACACATACATAAGAACCTGTACGTGTTGTATGAACATCAGAACCTGAACGTGTTGTATGAATATCAGAACCTGTACGTGTTGTATGAACATCAGAACCTGTACGTGTTGTATGAACATCAGATCCTGAACGTGTATGAACATTAGAACCTGTACGTGTTGTATGAACATCAGAACCTGTACGAGTTGTATGAACATCAGAACCTGAACGTGTTGTATGAATATCAGAACCTGTACGTGTTGTATGAACATCAGAACCTGTACGTGTTGTGTGAACATCAGAACCTGTACGTGTTGTATGAACATCAGAACCTGTACGTGTTGTATGAACATCAGAACCTGTACGTGTTGTGTGAACAAGAATAAATCGAACACTTTCCTATAACGCAACACAAGCTTTGTGAAAAACGCACCACACAACACGCAAGCATCACACAACACACACGCCTCACACAACATACACGCATCACACAACACACACCAGATCGCACAACGCATAGCACGCATCGCACACACACGCATCACACAATACACACATATTGCACACACAGAAGGCAGGAGGCGAGGGCTTGGGTGTGTGCTGTATTGATTGGCGACCCGACGCGAGAGGGGCGAGTGCGCCCCTCATCTCTACCCCTCATTCCCTCACCTGACTTTCTGCACCTCACTTCTCTGCACCTCACCAGACCCCTCTACCTAACTCTAGCCTATTCCACCTCTTTCCTCTGCCCCTCACCAGGCCCCTCTTCCTATCACCAGCCTATGACATCTCTCTGCCTAGCACCTCACCTAACTCTCAACCCTTCACCTAACGCAATTCTCTTGTGTATTTTACAGAGTTAAAATTTTACCACTAATTTAACCTTAAAAATTGAACTTTTTGGGGGGGGGGGAGATTTCGGAAAATTTTCCCGTCAAAGACAGCATTGATGCAATAATTATAGAATATTAATCCAGTAAAAATAAGAAAAAGTTCTAATGTGATAAAATAGGAAAAAACTTCAATGCGATAAAACTTTAACGCGGTAAAAAAATGCTTGACGCGTTAAGGAGACCATTAATACAATGAAGAGAACATTGATCGATGCTTTAACTTAAACGTGAATGCGCTAACGTTATAACTCATGCCAACTTTCCCATATAAAGAGAGTTTTTATTCAATTTTATGCTTATTAGGTAGCTACAACATTATAATCAACTGAATGGTAATATTCGGAATTTAATAAATGATTTTAGGAGCACGTAATATTTAATGTAATAACTTAAGAAACGCTCATCAATATTCGCATGGTTTGTGTTTTTATGATGAATTCGCATACATTTAGAGAAATGAGTGAGCCTTTGTCCAAATAACGACTAACTTTGCCATTATGTGGACCATTCTTACCAAATTTGGCCCGTCATAACTCGAGGTGTATCACTGCTACGCGCTGGAAAGTGTGTCAAATGTGGGCGGAATATCCCATTCATTCTTCTGAGTGTATCAACTGAATTCACAACGAGATGGACACGTCGTTGAACTTTGCATGTGTGCGACATTTCAGTGCAAGTTACGCTGAGCGGCGCGGCCTGAATTGATTACCTTGTTAACATGTCGGCCTCTCACGGACGTCCATTCGTCTCTGTCCGCACTCCGCAGGATCGCTGGCCTCTGCCGTCGTCCGTATTTTGTGGACAGCTGGCGACGACCATTACACGATGTTCTGAATACATTGCGAAACATTCAGAATTCGCTAAAAATTTTATGGATGTTTAGAGTAATTGCAAGTGGAAAAAAAACAGGATAACAGTTGGATACTTGGTCAGTGGTGAAAGCTCTTGCTAGGGTGGCCGATGCGAGATGATGTGATGTATCAGTGATACACTGTGCATGTATCACAGTTGAATGAATCAGTGATACACTGTGAATGTATCGCAGTTGAATGTATCAGTGATACACTGTGAATGTATCACAGTTGAATGTATCTGTGATACACTCTTTAAGTGCATTAAGCCAACATAAATTGTGTAAGGCGTTTATGGAAATGGCAAGGTAAAGGAATTTATTCGATGTAAACATGGTACTATAAATATTAAGATGTTGAAACCATATGATGAGACATTCATTAAATCTCAACAATTTACAAGAACTCTTGAACTGATACACCAAATATATGTAGAAATACCTCAAGTTCTCCGATTCATTTTTATTAGTGTCTAGTGTCTAAACTCATAAAAATTTCGGTATTCATCTTGGTAATCGCTCTGTCCGACACTGGACAAAATTGTTTGCGATAATTCCTTTCTCATTTTTCTCAACAACATCAGTCTGTGGCGTTCCGTCGTTGGGTCCACACTCAATGCGGCGGCAATCACTTAAATGAAATGTTTTTCATTTTACACGATCTTCTCACTTGCTCACTGGCTGTCCTTCTCCACTGCAGCTAAATCCACCGCATAATCTCCTTCTATCTCTACGTCCATTTCAACCATTTACTCCCCTATCTTTCTCATCTCATCTATCGCTGACAACCCTCTTAACTTTCTATATTCATCTTTCACTGGTTGTCTTCACTATACATCCCTGACAATCAATATTTCTTCTACCTCCTTTAAGCCTATAACATTTAACATTCTCCTTTTCACTCTCCATCCATCTCACCTCCTCCATCTCTCAAACTCCATTCCCTCGCGGATCTTCAGAGCTCCTAAAAACTCCGCCAAATCCGCAGAAATCTAAAAATCTCATCCTGGAACGATTCCCGGCATCAAAAGAACGGATCGCGAGAGGTTCTTCCATCGCAGAAATGATTTGAATTGATCAAATAGATGCATAAAGTATATTGAGGCCAGCCGACGTAGCTGCTCTCATTTATAGTCTGCCAACAGAGCAGACGAGAACATTATCTTGAGCCTGTGATTAACATACGTTTTTGTAATTTTATTAAATTTTAAAGCCTATGTAATCGATTATAATCTTGTGCACATTCCATCACACTGCAACGCGTTGCCTGTGAGAGTTCAGAATGTATCACACCAATCACCCTGGCATTTGGCATTTTCTGGTTACATTTTCCTTTTTAATAATACAAAATAGTTTTACGGTGGCAGATTGTATTGTGCCCTTTATAACTTTTGGCAACACAATAACAAGATATTTTGAAGAATATGACAAATTGGTAATATTGAATGTAAACTTCTACTGACATCGAAATCGAGTTTGTGCACTTACTATGACATTTAATCTTGAAAATATTCTAATGAAAATTTAGCATTTTCACAGGATGTTTAGAAATAACACAATGCTCAATTTGGAAAGATAAAATATGGTGTAGAGAGTTTCCAACGATAATCAAATGCACTCATTTCTCGCGAATTTTTCAATTAAACGAGATTTTCCTCTGACTATAATAAGAGTTTAGGTTAAATTTACGAGGACAACTAATGACAAATTCAGCTCTGGTATCTATAAACTATACCTTACAAGTCCACGGTCGTGAGCACACGTGCTTTAGTGGCATCGGTTAATACATTTCGCTAATTGGACAATTCTTGTCCGTTTTTTATTTTATTTATAGTTGTGTTCATTTTGATTACAAGTCTGCTTAAGTAAATATTAATGCGCTTTAAGTGGTCTGTTTAATTACCCGCACTCTTCTAGCGCTAAAGCGACGCCTTAATTCAAGTGATATGAATTTTCATTCATCCGATTCGATGTGGTACTAATAAAAACATTATCGCTACGAGTTTTAGCCCTTTGAGTTTGAGTACTCACATCCATCTAAAGCATCCGCTTTCTATTGACATATTTATTATTTCCCTGGATTGGCCCATTACTGTATAGTACGCTAGCAAACTGACGATTATGTGCAAATTGATACCTGCTATGTTTAATTTTTTAATATGCCGCTCCAACTCTATGAATTTTTCCATTTAACAAATCAAGTACTTGAAATCAAAACCCGTGTTAATTAATTATTTTCAACAGCTACATCATGCAGGCTTCCAGTGGCAGCTGGCCACTGATCTCGCTTGACTAAAAAACGTCCCTGTTCCCAGAAATGCACTTGACATATCCTGGCCAAAAAGTTTTCCCCAAAGTTTAGTAAGCTTAACACTAACTTGCATTATGCAAAACCACATTGTTGACGGCTTGGTAAGAAATTAGTGTCAATGTCAGATCTTACCCTAAAAAATAAACTAGCAGGCAAGGTAGCGGTGTAGAGACACAGTGTTGATGACTGTACTAGATTAAAATCGTCAAAAGATCTGATCAATAGGACAATCAATAATAATTTTACGTATGTTTATTAAAATAATATCTTTTGGCGACGAATTATGGATGTGAACAATTGAGGACCCTATAGATAATAAAGGCACCATCGTTTGTCTCTCTCTCTGTCTCTCTCTCTCTCTCTCAAGCGCTGTTCAGCTGGGAAGTTCAACTTAAAAAAGATTATAGAAAAATATTAGCTAGTTAATATTTACCGACTCACCATAATCATAGTTTTATTATTTCTGAATTAGTAAAATCGCGTTATTACATGAATTACGCGTTTTATTGTCATAAGTTAATTACCGAGTCACTACTCTATATGGACTCTTTTTAGCATTTGGCAATAATACACAAATGTATACAGTATACTATTTGTAACCTAAGGGCTATAAGAGGAAGATGTGGAATGTCTCATCAAACTAATCTCAATGCCTCAAGAGACAAGAAAACGTTTCAAGGAGGTAATAAACTCAGCTTCATTCACGACCGTTGCTCCGCACTTAACTCCCTTTCAGCATCGTACACTTTCAACGCTCAGCAAAATCCCGTCAGCAGAACCCAAGATCAACATTCGCCACCAAAAGCCCCCATAGAATCACCCGCGACCAACATCCGCCAACAAAATTCCCCTTAGCATCACCCACGATAAACAACCGGCACAAGAATTTTCCTTATTATCGCCAACGATCAACAACCGGCACCAGAAATCCCCTTATTATCATAACCCACGTTCAACAACCGGCATTAGAAGTCCCCATATCATCACCCACTTTCAACACCCGGCACCCGAAGTCCATTTAGCATTCCCAACGATCAACACCCGGCTTCAGAAGTCCCATATTCATCCCCCACGATCAACACCCAGCTTCAGAAGTCCCCTACTCATCCCCCACGAACAACACCCAGCTTCAGAGTCCCCTACTCATCACCCACGATCAACACCCAGCTTCAGAGTCCCCTACTCATCACCCACGATCAATACCTAGCTTCAGAAGTCCCCTACTCTTCACCCACGATCAACACCCGGCTTCAGAGTCCCCTACTCATCACCCACGATCAATACCCAGCTTCAGAAGTCCCCTACTCTTCACCCACGATCAACACCCAGCTTCAGAAGTCCCCTACTCATCACCCACGATCAATACCCAGCTTCAGTAGTCCCCTACTCTTCACCCACGATCAACACCCAGCTTCAGAAGTCCCCTACTCATCACCCACGATCAACACCCAGCTTCAGAAGTCCCCTACTCATCTCCAACGATCAACACCCAGCTTCAGAAGTCCCCTACCCATCACCCACGATCAACCCCCATGCTTCGAGGCCCCGCACTCAAGTGGCGGCGTGCCGGTGTAGGTGGCGCATACGTAGGCCTCGAGGTCAAATTCGCAAGCCGCTTGGATAGCGTCGTCGTGTTCCTGGGCAGAAGAAAGTGGTGAGGACAGTATTTAACAAGAATAATGGCAATAAGTCTCATAATGTTTAATTTTATACGGCAACATCTCTCATAATGTTTAGTCACAGACGACAACATGTCTCATAATGTTTAGTCACAGACGACAACATGTCTCATAAAGTTTAGTATTAGGCCCTGAGCAGCACAAATAATGTAGTGAGGGAGAAGTGTTGGATGTGGAGCACCGCAAGAGGTCTGATAAGATTTAATTCTAGACCACATGTCTCATAATGCTTGGTTCAAGGCTCTGGTAATATATTATAATCAATATTAAAAATAAAAGAAAGCAGACTATAATGATCACTTGCGTACCAGCCCTCAAAGTATGACGTATCGGTTATCAGTCCTCAGATGCTCACCCCGTTGCTGATCATCCAAGGGACATAATTGATGCGCGGCACTTGTGCTGCCGTGTATATTCCTGCCTCGTGGAGCAGCTCCTCTCCCTCCTGTGACGTCCAGCACGCCGAGATTTCGGCGAAGGAGACGCCAAGTTCTGCGGCACACTGTCAGTAAAGAATAATTTGAATAAATGTACTGGTTAATTTAAAAATCAAATTCAATATTTATTAATTAATCTTAATCCACGCTTCCCATTACAAAAGTTTATTCATGTCCATTGGGAACCATTATAACTCCTCTACCTTTGTGTGTTGTACAATAAGCGTGGCACCAAGTCTCATAATCTTCAGTTTAAGGCTCTAAGCAGCAAAAATCACTTTCTTCAATTCAGTTGTACACACCCACACCAACGGCTTCATCCTAACGAGCCCTCACCCGTTCACCAGCAGACGGGGGATATTCTGCAGTCATGACGCAGATGTTGAAGTCGATGTAGCCCTCACCTGTTCACCAGCAGAAGGGGGATATTCAGCAGTCATGACGCAGATGTTGAAGTCGATGTACTCAGGCTCCTGCGGTAAGTACTTCTTAGCGCACACCAGCAGCAGGTTGCCCACGCACTCGTCAGGTCCGTGCTGGCACGTGAAGTTGTAGCCACCCTCGGGCTTCGCTGTGTCCTGAAGAAGTTATTATTGAAATGAAATCATAATGATCATAGTGCAGCAAGAAGTGGCCTTGATGAGCACAAGGAATAACAAAAATTCATGATTATATACGTCTAAACATCACAAGTCAAAAACTAATGTTGCAAACCAAGTGTTGGAAATTGGCATTAATGTTCAATGTAACAAAAACATTAAAATATCGATAAAAAAATTATCCCAATTCACAGTTTACTCTAAAAAAATTTTCTTTTGTCTTATTTTGCTCAATTATTTGAGTCTTAGACAATTTAAAACGACAAGATTCTAAGTACAACTCCAGGAAATTTCACACAAAGGAAAGATACCTGGCATAACGGTTTTAGAATGGTTCTGGTAGATCTAAATTATTTATATGCATTGTGCTTTTGATTACTAATCAAGATACATTAACCGTTATTAAGGGACTCAATAGCGTCCTGCACAATACCGGTCCACGCCTGGACTGACTTTTACTTTCGTAGTTATGCCTGCGGTTCTCTGACTGTTTAAATGCATTTTTACTGCCCCAAGTGTCAAAATCCTTCACTTGTACAAGTATCCTCACGTGTAAATGCACCACGTCATCTTACGCAGAGTCGTTGACGGAGAAGACGTTGTGCTGAGCTGAATAATTGCTTAACCTTAAGCAGCGATGTAAAAGCTAGAAGAAGCTGCTCTGAGCTGAACACAGCAGCGGAATGCGGTAGTCAAACCGCGCACCAACAAACAGAGCACGCCAGATGACAAAAAATACAGGCAAACTAGTATTCTAATGTACATTATATGCATGCAGGGTTGTTAAATACATGGTTCTGACCGAAGCAAAGCCGTACGCAGTGATGTCAACGGAGAGGATGGATGAGAGGGATGCGTAGACCGGCGCAAGCTGCTCCTCCACGAAGCGGATGCTGTCGGGGCACAGCGACTCGTAGAAGACCTGCAGGCTCACGGGGTCGGCGTCAGCCCGGGAGCTCGCCACCTGCCGCAACGCGTCAAAAATTTTATCTTGGAATTGTCTCATTGTATTTAGGTTGTATTACAAACACATCCACCTTTGTAAGATGCTCATCTTATCACACTGGTATTAGATTAACTGGATTAACAGGATACAAAATTGCTTTCCATATGAAAATGTATATATTTATGTATGGAATTTAGCCCTATATTTGTTTAATCTGAAATTATTGATGTCTTAGCTCACTGGAATGGTGTAATTCTGACTGAAAGTTGGTGTCATTGGAATGGTGGGATTATCGTGCCGTGCTGACTGGAAGTTGACCAATGAAGGTAGTTTAATATTTATTACAGAGTAGCCTTTTAGAAGATGCGTAATGTAAGATACATGATTTGCCGTTAAACTCGACCTGCTCATGAAATGCATGTGCAAAGAAATGTTCTTTCAGGCCTCACGTGAGCAGAAGCGCAGGCAAACAGCGCTGCTGCGGTCGCCATGAAGGTGTTCAGAAACATTGCTCGAAATTTCCTGCTGAAAAGAATCACAAATAAGAAAGGCTTTACATTATTTGTATGTGTAAACCATTCAGAAAACCGCTGAAGTCGTGATAGATGTTGGTTACAATTTTTCTGCCCTTTTTGTTGGAGATAAGTGGTTGTAAGAGAAGTGACACGATTTGGTCTGCATGGAAATGTTGTTATAGAGGATGTTACACAACCTTGGAAATGCCATTTTTTCAATGTTAGATGGCAGTTTACATGGAAATTCGAGTCATTGCATTGGGCTGCTAAACTATAATTAAGCACATACGAAATAATTTCGTAAGTTAACTGTGTTCTATACGACACAGTGATGTTCATAATGCTTGATTATTTTTGTATGATCTTGGTCAGAAATTACAAATCAGAAATTGCACGATTACATTCTTATTACACGACTACACAACTACTACTTATTACACGAAGGTACGCGACTGGTACACGATTTTTCTGGTTCAAGACTGGTACACGATTCGATTTTTCACGTCTTTATTTAAAAGAACTAATCGGAAGGCATATCCTATACCAAATCGATCTCTATTATTTAATTTTAATTGATGAAGCCCATACTCGTTAAGGTATTTGTTAAATGCTGGCAGCAGTGGGAGTGTGAGGATGATATTTGAAGTTTAAACAAAGCTACCCATTTTTCCATCATTTTTCTTCTTGATGAGGCATTACAAACCAGGAACGCAGTTAAATTTACGTCAATTAGAATGATAGTATCTAATTTTCATTTTATTTTCTCTCCTGGTGACCGGTATTAGATTTGTATTTCATCCTACAATACTCATTTGACAGCAAACTTAGAGTTTCCCCAAAAAGAGTGATTTGTCATATGATTATAGGTGTTGGAAAGCGAATTCAACTAGTGAGGGTGTATGTGTGAATGAATTTAATTTTCGTTCAGCCGAATCAAATACACACAATAACCACAGTTGCCCGCTACGATTTTCGAAACTCGGGGCAGGGCATTATAAGTGAGTATTAAACCCGCGTTAATAATTCTATGAAATCTAAAGTAAGGAAGAACTGATGAGGGCTAGAAATACAAGATGATCACACAATATAAAAGTCATAAAACTAAACAAATTTGTTGGTTTCGTGGTTATTTGTTATGTTAAATGAACAGGACGGTCACATGTTCTTCAATATATAAGCACTGACCATACACACGAGTGCAAAAGTTGCGTCCTCTCCCACGACTAAACGGAAACCAGACCAGCTGCTGGGCCAACAAATTCACACACACACAAACACACACACACACACATACCCACACACGTAGTACTTAATTAATGTCCTTGGGAGCAACACCAGCTGCTGGTCCAACTGCTTCACACACGTGCTGCTTCACGGCCTTGGGAGCAACACCAGCTGCTGGGTCAAATGCTTCACACACGTGCTGCTTCACGGCCTTGGGAGCAACACCAGATGCTGGACCAACAGCTTCACGCACGTGCTGCTTCACGGCCTTGGGAGCAACACCAGCTGCTGGACCAACAGCTTCACACATGTGCTGCTTCACGGCCTTGGGAGCAACACCAGATGCTGGACCAACAGCTTCACACACGTGCTGCTTCACGACCTTGGGAGCAACACCAGCGACTGGACTTACAGCTTCATACCAATAACTATATTAGTGGTGTCAGCATTGAAGAGTTGGCCATTAGTCCTGATGCCGATTCCGAACATCGCAGAATTTTCACCACTAGTTGCGTGTCTCGAACACGCAACTCGCTGCTCCAAGTCTGATGATGTGAACTTTAACCCTTCGGCCGCCCTGCCGCACCATACACGCTTCTCGTACACGCTTGTCATATACGCTTGTCATACACGCTTATCATACACGCTTGTCACACACGCTTGTCATACACGCTTGTCATACACGCTTGTCATACACGCTTGTCACACACGCTTGTCATACACGCTTGTCCGTCCTGCCGTCCCACGCTTGTCACGAGGACTTATATGAACACTCGCATGCCTCTCGATGTCTAAATTAAATTCTCTCTGCGGGAGGACACAACATCAATGTGTGAGGCCTCTGCCTTACTTGTCCAATTGCTCGGTGATTGGTTCGATGGGGCGACAAGTTGCAGGTCCCGCTTCGTGCCGGTCCCGCTAGGTGCCGGTCCCGCTAGGTGTGGGTCCTGCTACGTGCCGGTCCCGCTAGGTGTGGGTCCTGCTAGGTGCCGGTCCCGCTAGGTATGAGTCCTGCTGCGTGCNGAGCATAGATACGAGCTCATCCAACATCAATGGTACGCACGGTATCGTGCATAGATACGAGCTCATCCAACATCAATGGTACGCACGGTATCGTGCATAGATACGAGTTCATCCAACATCAATGGTACGCACGGTATCGTGCATAGATACGAGCTCATCCAACATCAATAGTACGCACGGTATCGTGCATAGATACGAGTTCATCCAACATCAATGGTACGCACGGTATCGAGCATAGATACGAGCTCATCCATCATTCACGCTGCGAGAATATTCCAGGGACGATGACGGACAAATAATAAAGAAACATTTGTGTCGTTAACATAGTTTGTGCATTCCTCCTGCTGCAGAAAAATTAAGTTATCGCTGCGCGACGGACAGTAACCTTCGCAAGCTGCGTGAGAAGCCGACAGGGGCAACGCGTCTGCTCACTACGAGACGCGACAGTTCCCTTCGAAACGCGACTGCTCCTGATATGAGATTTGTAGAGCACTGAGTGGAGAATTGCATGTCATCGATGACTAATTTCCACTATATTACCACTAGGTACGCTCATTATCACTTCACTTCGTCACGCTCTTCATCAGATCACTTAATTTGTGGATTTTGATTATTTTGAAATTCACAATAATCTCTGATTATTTAGTAAGCAATCGTTGAAGTTTACCGCAATTTGCAAAAGAACACCTGGGTGGTGCGACACTATCTCCCGAACGCGCCCCATGCAAGCGTTGCTGCTGAGCCTGATCATTCGTTAACCAAAAGACCGAACCTGCCGATCCAAAACTTTATCCACAGTTTGATGCAGAAGAGCAACAGCAAATCTGCTCCATTCGGAACTATCCATTTAGCATCCATAGGATCGTTCTTCGTTGAACACATTAGATAACCCGAACTACACTCAATTGCTTTTGTCTTTTACTGTGATTACCAATAATTTACATTGGGAGTTTTATGCTTTGAAAATCTGAAATCTCACATGATCATAAGTAGTACTCACCGGGTGCTATGTATTGTCATAAATGAATACTGAAAATTAACATACTCTTTTTCTTTACTTTGCAATATTAAAAGCGTGTGCTATATATGCTTCAAAACATAAGATTATCCAAAACGTTACCTTTCTACTCGTTACTCGCAATTTCGCCGTTTTCGGCTTTTCCGCTTTCAAGTAACAGCTGTGTCTGTGATGAATGGCAGTGCTGACTTTTAATTTAGCACAAACGCTTTTCATAATTTTTTTTTATCAAAATTCGTCAACATTTTTTATATAGTCTGGACTTTTTTAGATTTTAGGACATTCTCTGTCGATTAGTTCAATCGAAAAATGCACTATTCTGCGATTCTGCGACCCGAATACACGGGTCAGGGTCCGGGTTTTAATCACTTGGTCTAGGTTTCTGTCACTTGGTCTGGATCCGGGTTTTAGTCAGCATCCTTTTCGCAGTATGGATACAGTGTTGCCAGATGGGACTTTTTCAGGCCAAAATTCGCAAACGTGGCCTTTTTTAAATGCATTGGCCTGACAAAATTCATGTGGCCTTTTTGGGCCTTTTTTATGAAAAATGTAATTCTCGAATTTGTTTTGTAATAATTTTGCCCTTCACTTATATTTCAATTTTGCCCAAGACGAGTACACTCAAATTGCGACACGTAACTGTGTAAACACTTTGGTTTAGGTGGCAACACTAGCGATAACGAGTGCCGCTTAATCCGGACATTACTTCGATAGTTCGGTTGAACCACAAGGACTATATCCAGTTGTCGACTCGTATTAATAACCATGGATGGCAGAGCTGACAGCGTGTATAATCGAGTAAAGTTTTCGCTTCTAAAGAGTAGTAAATTCAACACTAATTTAGGAGGTTATAGCACAGTTTCTCAATACATTCAGCTTTCTGGTGTGAGTCACTACCAAATTTCACTTTGGATAAATATAATAACTACTCTTCTCTAAGTTATGATAGGCAATATATCTTTTAACGCATTCAAAAATTGTGATAAATTTATAGGATTGACTTTTAATATTTACCTAAGTCTTGCAAGGACCACATCATGATCATCTTTCTACCGCAGAAATGAGTTTGAATTTATTTTCATCTTCCGCGTATAAATATTTTACCGTCAATGCCAAAAACTTCGCCACATCGAATCGAGGCAATCGAATCCTATATATCATAGTTCTGACCAATATTATACGGTTTTATTACGGTCGGCGAGTAACGTGCAAATCGCTACAGGCTAGCGCCTTATGTAGCACATGGAAAAATTAGTGTATTTTTGCTGTCTAAAAGCCTTGAGAGTAAATGCATGCACTGCAAACGGTTAGAACTACCTTAAATTTGAAAATTTCTCATTAATTTTAACTGGGGCCTTTTTTGGTCTCTTTTGTGAGCTAATTTGGCCTTTTCTCTGGGCTCCATCTGCCAACCTGTGGTATGGAACGCCAAGTTGAATCGTAGCTTTTGACGACGTCTTGCTCGCTTACAGTCGTGACGCAGCGTTGCCGTGTCCGCCTCGTCTTCAAGGATTCAAGTTCCAAACTCCATGCATAGCGTTTCTCATAAATGAATTTATAATGATTATATTTTGCATCACTACCTTAACGAATTATGGAAGCACTCAAAGGTGTCCCTCAACAGCAGTGAACGTAGTTCCGCCATCGTAATGTACGTGGATTGTCCTGCCACTGTTATCGTGCATACCACAACAATAATACATACGTGAATTGTCTTCGTTAGCCCTATTTTGTAGTACGACGATCATACGTAAAAATTTCTCAGTCTACCTCAGTTTGTAGCAAGTCGTGCAGCGATCGAACGTTGTATGCCCCGATGCGAGCTCTACAAAAATGAAAATAGTTCCTCGTCACGAAGTAGTTGCCAAGCGTTTCCCTTGTACCAACTATGAATTTGCAGTAATTGATCAATTTTATTAATCTTTTTGTAATATCTAATGGAATAGTGTGAGCGTATAGGGGAAAAATCAGCTTTGACTGTCGTTCGAAATTGGAAATGAGTTTCATAACCTGGCAGCCAACGCTATTCAGATAACATATCAGCATGATAGTGATACCGAAAACACTCAGCATAGAGAATACTTCCGTATGGTATTGGTAACTAGAAAATACAAAGAAAAATCACTTCATTATTTTATTTAAGAACACTAAAAGGAACATAAAATATACACATCGACATGATTATTGACACAGCCGTCGACCAATCTCAAGTACGAAAGTCTCTAAAAATAATATATACACAGATTACATGAGCGCTGTAAATTAAACGATGAGAGTTTGAGGAACGAATCCTCTCAAAAATGGATGGCTTTACAAATTTCTCTATATACAATTGCTGCAATTTCCAGGAGCATTTACATATACACATTTACAATTGCTATACACTTGGAACATGAATGGCAAGTAGCGTGTACATTGAATATTCATTCATGCGCGGTGGGTGATGACAGAAACTCATTCCAAGGTATACGCACAATTTGCGTTACTGCCTGGAACAACAATCATCGATTTGAAAAGTAGTAAAAGCTTCTTCGTGACCAGCAGCTAACCAATTGACTTTATGGTGCGAGCAGGAGCAGGCAAGACTCAAGTTGTGCTCACCCATGACCACAACGTCTCGTGGCAGATGTCGTCACAATAACTGAATAAAATACTAATGGTTGATGCCGTCGCCACAAAATAGGCAAATACTTATGGCTAATGCTGTCACCTCAAAAATGGCTAAGACTTATGGCTGAAACCATCACAGCAAATGAGGCTAAAAGACGTGCTTTCTGGTGGCCAGACAGAACCTCGTGGCTTATTACTCGTTTCTTTATAATAAACAACAAATTATTATTAAAGAAAGATCACAAATTGCTAAAAAAACAATAACGAAATAAATAAATGAACTTATATTGAATTAATATCTATATAAAGTAGAAAACGTCTATCCGTAAACATACACTGCATCAAACTATATGCTTACACTTCCACAATCTGCATACATATACTTCCGCAATCTGAATACATTCGCTTCCACAATCTGCATACGTACACTTCCACACTCTGCATACGTACACTTCCACAATCTGCATACATACACTACATACACTTCCACAATCTGCATGCATACACTTCCACAATCTGCAAGCATACACTTCCACAATCTGCAAGCATACACTTCCACAATCTGCAGGCATGCACTTCCACAATCTGCAAGCATACACTTCCACAATCTGCAGGCATGCACTTCCACAATCTGCAAGCATACACTTCCATAATCTGCATACATACACTTCCACAATCTGCATACATACACCTCCACAATCTGCATGCATACACTTTTACAATCTGCATACATACACTTCCACAATCTGCAGGCATACGCTTCCACAATCTGCAAGCATACACTTCCATAATCTGCAAGCATACACTTCCACAATCTGCATACATAAACTTCCACAATCTGCATGCATACACTTCCACAGTCCGTATACATGAACTTCATCACAAGACATTTATACATAGAACGATATTCACAAGACTTTTGTGCATTCTACAGAATATTGTCGCACGGAGAGTGGAACACAGTTTGTATCGCTGAGCCACGCGCAGACTGACATAAAATAACAAACGATACGACCAACGTCTATCAATTGAAAACTATGTTGAATTCAATTGGATGTAAACATCCTCAATGAACTGATATTCATTATATGATTCATCTGTGATCAGATGTTCCCAAGTAACCGTCATAATCGTAGCTATCCAGGCATCACAAGTGAAGCTCGGCGAAAAAAAAGAGCTCGGCTTATTAAGGTTTCTGCAGAAACGAACCAGTCTTATTGGAATATTATTGTAAATCAAATCATCAAATTGCCACAAACACCGAGGCTGGAGATCTCAAAAATATATGACTGAGAACATAAATTTACGAAATAACACCAAGATTGAAAAGAAAACTTTAAAATTATCATCAATAATTTCTTAGCGAAAAAATCATACAGAAGAATCACATAATATTCCAAAAGGAAATAAATGAATAAAAAAATATCGTAATTAGCGAGCAGCAATTGAAAACCAGGGAAGAACTAAAAGTCATGATAATTGATAAGGTAAGTGAAAAAAAAACTTAACTTAACTAAATTGATGACTAGAAATCGAGTGCAGGAAACCTGAAACTGATCAAGAAAATCAAAATCTGGATCGTACCAGCAAGATTTGAAGAGCATCAGTAAAATCAAGGGCGTCCAAGTAAGATCCGGTGGGAATAAGCAAGATCTGGCGCGCAAATTTAAGATAAGGAGCACATTATCACGATTTGGAGCTAATTATCCAAATTTGGAGCGCCCCGGGAAACTAAAAAGTATATTAGTAAGATAAGAAACGTCATAGCAAGATCTGAAGTGCCTTGTCAAGATATAGAGTGTCTCTTTAGTAGAGTGCCTCAACAAGATGCAGAGTGCCCAATAGGTACAAGGGTATCAGCGTAAAAAGGTCAACAGTAGCGCGTTACAGGAATGAGCACTAACAGTAAGAAGCTAAAACACAGTTACATTGATCGTACAGACAATTGTCCTAATCGCAGTCGGGACACGTGACGAGTTCGAGCACTACGCTCGGGACTCCCGTGTCGATGTCTGCTCCTGTAACCGTCGCGTCGGGAACGGTGATAGGGAGACAAGCGCCTTCTCGTGTAATGGCTACTGCTTTCTTTACGGCGGTGCTTGAGCGGTCTAGTGTCGCTGTAGCCCTGGCCGGCTGGTTCCAAGTTGTAGATGCGGTCCAAGTGATCACATTTCTTAGTTTCGCTGGAGTAGAGAACATTTTTGAGCGACTCCTGCAATTTCCCAGCGACTTCCTCTTTCATGATGGGAAATGTTTCACTGTCACACGACTCTATCAAGTACTTCCTAATAAGGCCAATGACGCCAGAGAAATCATGTAGATCAGAGAAGTCCCATGAAGACTTGATGAGTTTGCTCATAGCACGCGAGTAATTACGCGAGTCTAGGGCGTACAAAAAGAATGCCTGGTATTGACGAACCACAGCTCCCGTTATAATTAGCTTTTCCGATGCTGGGGCGGGCTTTTGCTGGGCGAAGACGTTCTTCCACTTTTGGAGTTCAGTGTTGTAGTCATATAGGTCGTTTGGTTGAACGTCAACATTTTCCGCATTGCACATTTGCTGGGCCAAACGCAGCTGCTTGTTCATTGACAGCGATGTGTGACTCAAGATCCAGCAGAAACCTGCACACCCAAAACAATCTTGTTCATAAAACGTATAAATTAACTAGGAAATTGGCAGTTCGGTATAGCCTGACTACCAAAAACAAATTTACACGTCACATTATTCCGAGCAAAAAGATAACCTGACAGAATTCTTCATCAGTCAAGATCCAATACAGCTTCGCATTACAAAAAAAAAAGAAACAAAAAAATTGTTTCTTGTGAAATTATACTTAAAAAGCAACACGTAAATGAGCAATGCCTAGGGAGCATCACGTAAAAATTTTTGTCCTATTTTAGGTTTCAAGTTCACTAATACTTAATTTGTCCATTGATCTTGATGAAAAAGGAGTAGGTAATAATGAAATGCATCAACTTGAATATGCTCGCAGAAGGAATAACTCATAACACAAGCCACTAGTTTCTCCGGTTTGTTTTTAAAGCATTTAACTCACCTGTTCTCGTTAATGAAGCATTTTTTTTCATAGAATGTACAAGGAAGAACGAAATGCCGGCCTTTCGGCACGACATAATTGAAAAAAAAAAAAACATTCTAGTTCCAGTGTGGTTATTAATATATGATACATGGCATTGCAATGAACTTAGGTGACAAGTCTTATCTGAATAAAAATACTTTTCATACAACAAATTGAAGTCTATCTGTCACGCAGAACACGGTATAAAAAGCTAATCAGATGAAAGATGCCTGAGTCCCAGTGAGTTAAACAAGTGTAGAAATGAATCGGTACAATAATCAAAATGGAAAATGCTCACCAAACGTTTCCATAAATTGAGCTCAATGAATTTGTTCCCAGCATTTGTTCCCAGCATTCAATGAATTTGTTCCCAGCATTCTTGATAGGGTAAATTCATAAGATAATAATTGTGAAAATAAATCCAACTACCTTCTGTTAATAGCTCATACAATCGCTTGAATATTCAATCAAGAAAGGAAGAAAGGCTGTATTGAGGCCTTGGTGGATTGCTATACATCTCACAACGGAAGAACGTTCAGCATACTGAAAACCTACATAGAATTTATCCCTGCTAAAACACTACAGAGAAAATCCCGTTTCCCAACATGAACTTATTTCCATTAACATACAAAAGTTTCACATCGCTGCCAAAAAATTGCAAAGTGAGTTCAGGCTTGTATGTCAGATTACCCTTCAATGGAACCCATCTAGTCACACATTTCCATTTTTCAACACAATTACTATCACAATGTTCATTTTGTAATTCATTTTTTAGTTTGTTTCTTGCGGCTCTGTTCGAGAGACGATATTTTCTTGTCGAGCGCGCGTTGCAGCTGCGCACGGCGGTCGTGCGAAGGAAGCTTGGACGGCACCCCAGACCCAGGGTAGATGACCCCTTCTCGCACCACCATCTGCAACAAGCCAGATTTTTGCAGGTGGTGGTCACCACCGTCTGCAACAAGCCAGATTTTTGCAGGTGGTGGTCACCACCGTCTGCAACAAGCCAGATTTTTGCAGGTGAACTGGCATCACATCCACTGGCATCACACTCACTGGCTTGACACACTCACTGGCATGACACACTCACTGGCATGACACACTCACTGGCATAACACACTCACTGGCATGACACACTCTAAGCACAGCACTGGAAGCATATAGAACTGACCGCTCTGGCATGCTGCCTGGCATGATGGCCACAGCCGTGGGCCTCAGCAATGAAGTGCTGCAGGCAGTACCAGGAGTGACAGTAGTTGCAAGACTGCAGCAGCAGACTTCCAGCGCTGGCAGCAGAGCAGCCAGCCAAGTTGCAGCGCTTGTGGCTAGCAGCAAATGCTGACAATACCGCATCAAAATCCTCCTCCTCCGTGACAACTTCCTTTGCAGACGTGCTTTTCATTTTAGATTCGTTCTTCTTGCGTTTAGATTTGGAGTTTTCTTTGTTAGCTGTGAGTTCGGAGGTTTGTTTTTCCTCTTGCACTTTCTTATTTCTGAGAGAAATTGCTTCGTTTTCTTTCTTTTCACAAGCAAGCCGATGGAGGGTGAAATTTTCCTTCAGGATATCCTTGCCACAAATAGTACAATGCTTCGTGAGGCGCTCAGTGGGAGCTTGCTTCTCGACTATAGCGGCTTCAGAACATAAGTCATTAGCCTCACTTTGAGGAACATTATAAATAGGAGCTTCTTCATCACGAGAACACTTCACCTCATTGTCCAAAGGAGATTTTACGTCACTAACTGCCACGACCTGAGCTTCAGCAACAGGTTCTTTGGACACAACTACATGTCTTTTCTTGTTCAAGCCCTCACTGTAATGCCACAGCCCCATGGACTGAGCTGCTTCATGAACTATCATTCGTTCAAATGAGCTCAATTTGGCAGAGAAATGATACTTTTTATTAGAAGACTCAATGAAAGTGTTGAGCATTTTGCGAATACGCTCGGTTTTAATCTGAGTTCTCTCAAACTCTTCCTTTGCTATCTGTTCCTCAGACTTTGACTCAGGCTTGACTTCAGGCTTTTGAGGCTTAAGAATATCACTGAGATCTAAATCACGAAAATCTGCACTGATTTGCGTGCAGTTCTCTGCAAGAGAGTACAAAAAAGAGCGCTTCAGGGATGACGTATGCCAGGCATTGAGTATTACAGGACAACATATGTCCCAGCCAAGTGATGCTAGGCATTGAGTATTACAGGACAACATATGTCCCAGCCAAGTGATGCTAAACTATTCTGATATATAGTGCGTTATAGTCCAGTCAGCCAACAGATGCAGTAATGATCATCACTATTCAACATCGATGCAAATTACTGAACTCCAAAAATCTGCATCATGAATCTTCCTATAATTTAGAGGAGTTAACTGATTGATTTCAACCTCTATTTTTTCAAAGTAAGACCATTGCGTGTTATATCCACGTCATCAGATGCGAATCAAACCTAGATAACAACTAAGACTCACGACATTGACTTCCAATCAACTATAATATTTTGCTGACTAACTGCAGAACCCATCAGACAGTCATATTTCAATACTACCGAACTCAGACGACTAACACCAGTACCAAGCTATCAAATACTCTAGACTGACTGCAACACAATTCTACAGCAATAGATGTCAACATATTCCTTCACTACCGTATTGTGAAGACTGACTTAAATATAAAACTTTCCAGACGCAGACTTAGTTCTCAACTACCGAATTCAGACGACAAACACTAGTTTTAAGTTATAAGACTGTCGAATGAAATACAGTTCTACACTAAAAAAAAACCGTGACATAGTTCTATACTGCCATACTTTGCAGACTGAGATATTAACTCTGCAGACAGTGATTCAATTCTACATTACACTGTTCGAAAAAAAAAAGCGAGAAAACGGTCTCACTGGCTTCCTGAAAGTAAACAATTTGGCCGTTTTTATTAGATATTACACGACTTTCTGGAGTTAAATTGGAATAAAACGACCACATGGTGTTTTTTTTCACGTGACGGCCGTTCCCTGAAACGCCGGTAATACAGTTTAATGGTGATTTCTCGACAGTGTAATGCACTCTACAAAATGTGATTTACCTAACTAATTGTAACTCTGAAGACGTGAGACATCATTATAAACTACAGCAATCTGCAGACTGTGGCATACTACGTACTTCAAAACTGTCATAATTTGTGTACAGAAGCACCTAAAAGCAACAAAGTTCGTAATTCTGTTCAAGTTTTAGAGCCTAGGTTTACTAAAAATTTTTAATCATTATTGCTGATTTATCCCTGCATCTTAGTAATTTCTGAAAGCGTTAACTGGCGTTTCTGCCTTCAAGATTATACACTCATTGAATCGATAACCAGAAGCCACTAAGGATGATCTATTAATTGGCGACAGCCACATTGTCCCTTAGTCGTGGCCAGCAGCTCAAATGTGACAACTTTTAGAGGGCAAGATAGTGGACAAAATTGCCAGACATGAGTGATTCTTTGACCCACTACTAATGTACTTCACGTTCAAATGGAGTGTGATCAAGCTATCTTACATTGCTGTGATGCCGGATCACCCGATCACGACTTTCTTTTATCATAAGTTTTTAAAGTCAACTTCATTTATAAATTCCAAGTGATAGGTTAAGTAATTAATATGGTTTAATTGTACCCCTTGCAACACTTGCCATTGACAGCAGTAGCACACATAACCAAACACTGGCAAATGGTTGATTTGTTTCTTATTGACTTAGTTTGTTCTATTCGATTCCTGTAAAATATCCAGGCTGTCTATAGGAGATCATTTATAGAATAATTCGATGTATGTACACCCGCCTCACCTTCATCCATGTGCTCGGCGCGCACCACTCTCGCGTTGGTGAGCATGTACTCAACGAAGGTCTTGAGAAAGCTGTGCTGCTGCAACGTCTGCGTGTCGCACACCACACTCAGATGCCGACGCGCTCGGGTCACAGCCACGTTTAGACGACGATCTTCAGCCAGGAAGCCGATCTCTCCTGCAAAACAATGTCTTTAGAAGGCTATACGTGTAATAATTCATCTTGACTGGCATCATCAGTTTTGCTATGTTTATTGTCACTATAAAGCTAGGCATTGCAGGCACTACCTGTGATGCCACTCACGGGTTTTAACAACACAAAACATGAAACTCTCCCTTTACATTAAGCCATCTCGTTCGTAATATTGGTAAGGATAGGGCTTCATATATAAATCATATATACATAAATTTCAGAACTAATAATATTGGTCACTATAAATTTAGCTTTATACTTAAAGAACACAGATAAGTCTAGGAAATGTATCACTGAACTAAACTCAGCAGACACTTGAACTAGTGGAGGCAGCAATGTCGCTTGGACCCAGCATGATAATTACAATTTGACCAACTGTCTAAATTACTGAAGTAGTTACCTTCACTTGCCTCAATCTTGAAAGCAAAAAGTGCAGCAATAACTACACCAAAGGCTCACTGAGGGCCAGCCGAATATTATAAATAATAATCATTTAGTGTTCATCACAGAGGACCAGCTGCTCATCATCATAAATAATCAGATGCAGACAACAACTAAAATACAACAACCTGTTCAGCACAAAATGACATTCAAGAGAACATAAATTACTGAATATTCATTACGTCAAAGTTATGAACATTACCCTTGGTGTTGGAGCGAACTAGTGTTAAAATCACAGCTTCCTTTTCTCTCCCTTGGAAGCCATCCACAGTCTGGACCTCCACTTCAGGATAGTCAACTTGAATGAGTGACCGCACTAACTTCACCTGGTGAGATAAATTAAATTTTAATTTCATTTTAGTTTTAGTGCGAGTAGTTGTTTAGTATTTGTATCAAAATAAAATAAAAAAAGTTGCATACTCTATCATCAATAGTAAAGTAAACAATTTATGAGTTGAAGGCAATAAGTTTCTCCTGACCTGTCGACTGTACGGAGAGATCACAGCAACCTGCTGCGGACTCAGTCCTGCTGCTATCATTTTCTGCACGAGGGCAAGAACCATGGACGCCTCGCCTTCGTTGCTCCTACTGCTTGCTGTGATGCTCTCGTCTATGCTCTCTTCAAAGCCTGGACACGAGCTGGTGTCCACAAGCAGCAGTGGCACACCTGGTTGAGAGAACAAAATTTTTGTTAATTTAAAAACAAGTGACTTCCTAACTGTATTGAGATTAGTGTAGTATATTTAGCATTAATGGCAAAGTATGAACTAAAACATCAAAATGTTTATAATTGAATAACAAGATTGGAAATAATTTTCAACATCAAGACTGACTGTACAATGTCCAACATTAAGACTATTTCATAATTGGGCCATAAAACAAGCATTGGATATTCATTATTAAAATTATTGTATAAGGGTCAAGATTCAAAATAATTTATATGATTGACTTTAGTTTTTAAATTCAAAATATATTTCATTTTGTGATTGAAATTAATAAGGTTACTTGGCACACACTACTCAAATAGTAATAAATCAAGCCAAATATTTAATATTTTTTCTTACTATATGACAGCAATGACCAATTGTTTATTGCATCTAAATAAACATTAAAAATTATGAAAGTTACACTTCTTTTTTACAAGCCACTCCCCAACTGATGTTTTAAGAACATAGAACAAACATTGTTCAATGAATTCAACTTGTAATAAATGCTGTTTCAATGTCATTTAACAAAAGGGTAGTGATCACATGAATTTGGTGACATATATGAGGTATATTTTGTTAAAACTGACCAGTGTACTCATTGTTGGAGACATGAGGCAGATCCTTGAGCAAATGTTGAGACACAGATTCATGTGCAATGAGCTGGTTGTTGTACAAGGCTGCTGAAGACCATGACATTATGTCCACATGCATGCGATATTGCACTGTCAGCATTTTTACAATTTTTGAGCCATGCAGATCTATTACTCGTTCCATAAGTGATATCAAGAGCGCAGAAGCTTCAGGAGAGAGGACTGTTGGAGGAAGCTGCTGGTGATCGCCAGCCAAAACCAACTTAGGGGAACGTAAGACACTGAGATAACAAGATGCTTCAGTACCCTGCGAGCATTCATCAATGACAGTGAGGCCAAAATGGTCCTTTTTGAGGTACCTCATTGCATTACTAGTGTGAGCTGACATCAGAGTGCACAAAACGACATCAGCACCTTGGATTAGATCTCTGACCATTCTTTCTTGTCTTTCATTCAACTCTTTTCTTAACTGTCCCAGTTCCTTGTAGGTGCTGTGTCTGTCTTTTCCATAAATGAAGTCGAGCCTTCTTGTCAAAGTGTTGATCTCATTTTGGATGTCCTTCACAATTTCACGCCCCTCATAGTTGTGCATGAGAGCATCAATTGTGTGCCTTTGAGTAGCAGGTGTTGTACGAGCAGGATGACCTATCCTGACCACTCGTATGCCAACAATGTCAAGTCTTTCTACCAGATTGTCAACACCCAAGTTAGAAGGAGCAAGAGCCAAAACTTTCAGACCCATTTTTACATGCTGACGGATGATTTCTATCAGAGTCGTGGTCTTGCCAGTGCCAGGAGGCCCATGCACAACAGCAAGGTCCTGCTGTTTCACAACAAAATCTACAGCCTCTTGTTGGGACTGATCTAAGGTTTTGTTGAAGAAAATCAACTGGTTAGAAGAATTTGATGATGTTAGCTTAGGAGGAAGCCTGAGGAGAGGTGGCATTGGATCAGATTCTCCAAAAAGAACTGCAGACAAGTGATATGAGGGACCTTGAACTTCAGCCATACACTTGAGGGCTTTCAATATGCGTTTAATATTCTCCAGCGAGGGAAAGTGCTTAACTGAATACGATGAACTTTCTTGGAATTCGTAGGCTTCATCAATAGTGATGTGGACATCTTGGTTTGATATATCAAGAACAACGCCATCTCTGCAATGATCTTCTTGACGGCACATGGGCCCACCACTGTAAATGCTCACATTATCACCTTTTCTTAGGCCATGAGGAGGCAAGGTTTGGTGTGCATAAGAAGCAAATGTGATGCATATTCGTCCAAAGCGAGTAGATGTTACTGAAACAACTTCTAAATGAGAAAGAACTCCTGGCACACCTTCGCCACTACTATTTACTGTCTTCATCACTTCCCGTTCATTTTCTGCATCCCTTTCCAACAAATAGAGCTTTTTTTGCAGTCTCAAAAAATCATATCGGGTCATTTTGTTAAGTTCACCAACACTAATTTCAGTGAATGTTTCTGGTTTGGACTCAGTATTGGATTTCTTTTCATCTTGAAGGCATCTCTGAGTGGACTCGCTAAAAATTTTAGAATTATTTGCCTTATTTTCCATTTCCATATCAGACATACCAATGTTTCTGGATTCCATTGCATTTTTTTCTAGATCACCTGTAGAGTTGTGGTCACCTTTCTTCTGCAAATGAATGCTAGGCAAGAATTTTTCATTCAAATCATCAAGGGCTGCAGTGGTAGTTTCAGTCTCCATCAAGAGATTATCTTGAACATTAGCCTTCAAATCCATGTTAGCAAGAGAACATTACTCAGAACTTCTTAAAATTTGAGTATATCTTACTCTGACTGTCCCACTAAAATTTGAGTGGATAAACAAACTTCTTTGCCATATAATTTAGGTCTAAAATCTGTGAAATGAAAACCTTATAAATGATAATTTCAATGTGAACTTAACAAATGCATACAAATTATAATTTGAAGCCACAAACCTAACTTTGTTATGTAAAAATATAAGTAAATTATGTCCAAATGTAGCACAGTATGGCTACTTAACTTAATACACCATTACTATGGCCAAGATTGTACATAATGGATACAGAGAAACACAGCTGTTGAACAAAAACCTTGCCCAGTCGTAGAGATTTCAATTATTAATGTTGTATATTTATAATGAAAAATAAGTGTTATATACCTTTTTGATGTCAATCATTTTAATTTTGATCTATAGAAGGTACTGTCAACTGGGGCTACTTGGGATGATTTTGAACATTTTTCTTTCATAACTTCTTACCATGAAACATTTCATAAACAAGTTTAGGCTCATTTCAAAGCTCTTTGCAAGGGCTATCACATGGCTTCTCCAAAAAAATTCCATATGCTATTCGTAATGTGCCAGAAGCAAAAAAAGAGTGTCCCGAGTAGCCCCGTTGAACGGAGCTACTACTCGTGACACTTGGAATAAAACTTAATTTTAAAACATTTAAAGCATGCAGAGTGTACTCATCCATTACTAATAGTACTCTGAATTCCACCTCTTTAATTGTACGTAGATGATGTAGAAGCAGAATAAATGACATTTTCTGTGATTTTTACTTGTTTTTCCTTTTTTAATATATTACCACATACATTAATTACCATATTTTTTTATTGATGCGATATTATCGTATCCATGAACATGCCAATGAGCATTTATAACAACCTTGTCCACTGCAAGCTTCATATCAGCAGCCTTATAGCGTTTTTTGTTTCTGTAAGCTTACAGGACTTCTCGTAAGTTCACACCATTTTTATTGGGTTATGTGTATTTACTATAAAAAAAAATATAACTCAGTACTCACTGCAGTGAGTGACAGAGAGCACATTTTCTTGTCTACGAAAACTAGAGGTCACGGACAGACAGACGGAATGACAGACATGGCGAGCACAATAGTGCATTTTTTCCATAAATGAGAAAATGCACTAAAAAGATCGTGAAAAATATACCTGAAACAGAAAGGAATGTTTTAGTGACAACCATCATATGTTTTGGAGAAATATATCATAGTTTAGGTCAATTACTTCCATGATGCCTGGTGCACAATTCTATATACGTACGACATTCAATGTACAATTTTGTGATGACCAATGATGCACTAATTTTTTGCTAAGTGAAATTTTTTTCACTGAGCAATATTCTTTGTTTTTAATCAATTTCTTTTTTAACTGGAGCCTTTGCTAACTGAGGTTTTACTGTAAATGCTTTTTTGGGGGTGTCCCAAATAGCCCTGATGGGGGGTGTCCCGAGTAGCCTCGCCATGTGGAAATGGCCGCCATTTTTTTGGATTAAGGTATGTAAATTCTGCAAATAAAGTTTTCATGCTGACACTTGTCTGCCACTTTTTTCAAAGCAAAATTTTTTAATACAGCAAATATTTTTTTTTACTACAGACCTTAGCAGAAGTGACTTTTCATAATATCATTCTTCACCATTTTTTCAGGAATTTTTCAAAGCTAGTAAATGTAGTATTTTTATGTCAAATCGTTTTTGAGTTTTGGGGGTTTTTGTTAAAAAAACAAAAAGTGGTCAAAGTTACCCCACCGGTCAAAGTAATCCCATTTTATGGTAGCTGCTCACATCCGCATCGTAGGAGACGGAACTGTTAGCGTGCACTGTGGAGTTGAAGAAGGTGCGATGGATGCAGTAATTCAGTACACTAAAACAATTTAGGTGTTTATTTTCTACGCTTAAGGCTTAAGGCAACGTAATGAGTAATATTTTTTTAGACTAAATTGAGATGTTAGTCATTTAAATGATGAATCGTGAAAACATAGCAATTCTGTGAGAATGTTCAAGATCTCTTACAAAATCCATGCAATGGCGGTTCGGTGTAATTCCATGAGAATTTTGAAAAGCAGAACCGGTACTCCTGATCATAACCTTAAATTTCCAATTGGGGTTACCCGGGCCCTGCCTGTCAAAGCTCAAAGTAACCCCATTTTACGGTGGTTTGAGACTTTTAAATAAGTCTGTGAATATATTAGGAATCCTCTAAGTATACTTGTATTTGCTGATTTTAAGTGGTAAATAAATTAATAGATGATTAAGTTAAGAGATGGTTTTAGACACATAAAAACTAATTCCAATACAGCTCGGAATTAGACACGCACAGCTTGTTCTGAGCTGGGTCCAAAAATTAAATTTTTCTTAATTAAAAGATTAATAGCTCTTAATTAAAAGCTTAATTTAAAAATTAAAATTTTTTAATTAAGCTTGTTCCAAGCTGTGTCATATTCTGATACAGCTCACACAGGGCATCGGAATTCCAACACAGGGCGCCGGAACGGCGGAATTACAAATTAATAGTTTGAACTTATGAAGCGCTGCCAAAGGCCCAAAATTAAGCTCACAATATGCCAAATTTAGTCACACACAGCGTTGGAATTCAGGTATTTGGTAGGTTTGAATTCTAAAGGCTTTTAAATAAATATGGCAACAGTTTGTGATGTTTCCTTGTTGCTGGCGGCCCGGCGGGTAGTGTGGTGTTTAGAGAGTGACATAAAGCAAACAGAACTTGAGTTGTGCATATGGTGATATTTTTATAGCCATTCATTTCTTGCTTTGTCCTTAATGTGTCAGAATATACTGCGTTTACCCTATGACCTCCTTTTGCTCTTACAAGCATTTGAACACAATTTGGCTTGGATTCAATCAAAGTTGAACACATTGTAGTCACTTGCTCATCATGATACCAGATTACCAGGTCCTAATTACAGCACTAATTAGCTTTGTCATTGTCATTTTTATTCAGGAGTCTTTGTTTGATTAACATTAACCTATCTGCCCTAATAAGCCCTATATATAGCCAAATGGGGTAAGACAGGATCGCAGCCTTCATGGGGTAAGAAAGGACCAGCCCATGGCGTGCATTCTAATTGCACTGAATTCAATATGACGAAAGAATATGTTAGAGCAATCATTGCCTGTCATTTCAGTGTTTGTGGCAACCCTCTTCTGCAAATAATGCATTTCTGGCAATTTTTAAAGAAAACCTATGTAAAGAAGGGTCACAAAATAGTTAACCCTGTTTGGGAAATAAGCTCTATCTAATGACAAAAAATTTTTTTGCCAGGTTTGTGGATGTAGGCAGGTAACCTCAAGTAATAGGCAACTTTTTAGACATACTAGGCATTCCTACCTGCTACCATCACTGCTTGACATGTATTCTAAAATGGAGTAAAAAAGGACCAGACATGGAGGCTCGTAGAAATGGAATCACGGCTGGCAAATCCATAAAACCACGGCTCAAAAAATTCAGTCGCGGCTCGCCAAGTAGATATATTCCATACTAGTAGCACAGTGGCATGATTAACCTATCTGCCCTAATAAGCCCTATAGATTATAAGTTATCAATGGGATTGATGTCGGGAGAATTTCCAGGCCAGTCTAAACTTTAGAATCTTCAGTCCAGACTGTCCAGTGAGTCTGAGTCCACTTTCTTCAAAGAATGTGCACATTTTAGGCCTACGTGAATTGTGAAGTATATCGACTCATGTCATGGTGGCAAACCAGAGCATTTTGGAATCAGTTCATTTTTAATTTCCTCAATAACTCAAGATTTAAACCAATTTCTTAAGTATGATAATGCTGGTATCCATGATACCTACCTACTTTACTGGTCTACTTATAGGTCTCAAAAATGAACTCGAGGGTGAGTTTAAAAAACTCTCTGCTTTGTCACTATGTATATATAACGTATTTGACATGGTGCGTACTGCGTGCAGCGTGATCCTGCTGAACCTGAATGGTGCCTGCCACCCGGCCCCAAGACCATAATCAACAACAACATAAGCCTTAAGGTAGCTTTATTTAGCTATAATACCTACCATCTTCATTACTCATTACTGCAAACAGATTGCCAAAATTCATTTCTAGCCTATATGAATACAGAATGCAGTTGCTATCACAGTGAGAGTGAATGAGTGAATCGTGATCATGACTCAAGAGTCAAAGTAAACTCAATGTCTTTATTGTCTTATGAGAGATGATCTGCATTCTTTCTAGCAAGTAGCAAACTAGCAATCAGCAGCTAGGCCTAATTGATCTGAGAGAGCTACCTAAGAAAATTAAAAATTTAAATATGTACAAAACTCCGTCTACAACTACAAGTTTATTCAGTTACAGTGTTACACAATAAATTTGGATGTTGCCAGGAATCTTTGTTTCACTAGACATTTCTTTCCGTAATTTGCGGGAGCCTCTAAAGACTAGTCCAATACTCTAAAGTCTACCTAAACGTTTTCATTTTCACCAGATACACTCAATCTACTGGAAGAGCATATCCGCTGAATCCGATTTATTGGAAATAATTAACGAAAGCACTTAATCTGCGACTGTGTCTGTGCGAAATTGTCAGGCCTAGTTTTCTGTTGAAACTCCCATCAATTTAAGATTGAGATTCAGAAATAATGATTTCAAACTATTCAGTTAAATCATAACATGAATACTTTTTCGTGAATTTCTCGAACAAAAATGTGGTGGAAGTGTTTCTTAGAGAGTTTTTCTACATGAATACTACGTGTTGGTGTCTGCAGCGCAGAAGGGAAGAAATTTTAGTTTATGCTCTTCATAATAAATTAGCAAATTAAATATCACCAACTATTGTATCTTTACGTAATATATGCGTAGGATATGTATATTGACGTTTCGACGAAAAAAATCATGCCAATTTTTTTCTAAAAGTATTAGATTTTTTATGTGTATGAAAGACACTACGGTACCGTAGTAAAATGTTGCCCAAGTCACACGTACAGACGTACTGTCATTCTGTCAAGTGTCACGGTACTGACTACGGTCAATGAAACTTGAAACAGCCATGGGTTGAAACTCAGAAGTGAAAAATCTTGTTCGAAATTTAGATATTCAAATGGAGTGTACCGATTAAATTGCAATTTGTGATTTCTCTACCGCCACTAGGTACCTACTACTTGGCTGACCGCTATTTATATCAATACTGTGGGAAACAATTAAATGCATTAGTCACTCCTAAAGTTGTCTTACCAAAAATATTTTTCATTGTGATAGAGAATGGTGTTTGTGAGTCCTCCCTTATTGCGATAGTTTCCACTTCATCTGGCTTTGAGTATTATTATTCACATCTAACAATTTTTTTAGGAGATATGTTTGAATGATTCGTCCCAATCGTTTACACAAGACAATCAATTACCTAGATGGAGTATATCCGTCTCAAAGTCCGACATTTTAAGATAGATTTTTACCTTCACTTGACTTGAGTGATGAGGTCTGGCTAGAAAGGGTTTCCATTCGTTATAAATTAGGGGACATGGATGATGGAACCTCAGATTACAGAGGTCAATTTTGTTACAATTTTAACGAAGTAAGGATCGGTTAGCTAAAAATTTCAGTTCTATTTTAATTTGTATAATGCCCAGAGCGTACCTTAGTTAGGTTAATCGTAAATCGATTATTTTTTTAATACGCGGAAAGAACGTATGAAAGTATCAAAGATTTTGTTCAAAATTTTTATTGATTTGTTTCATCATAAATGGCTATATGAGAATGTTTTAATATAATACTAATTTAATCCTGTACGTTTTTCAAAGTTTGCTATAGTGAGAACTCCTCATACAAGATTGTGTGTGAAAAGCTAATCATGTAGTGTAATCTGGTTGAAAATGCTGTCCTTGCTATTCTGAAATTCAACCATTATCAAAATAAATTTTTCTCTGCTTCGTCCCTAGAAAATAAATAAAAATTTTGCTCCTGAGTATACATCCAATAACTCACATGAGTAACGAGTAGGTATATTGGACTATCAGAAGTCAAAGTTTGGGCACTTTAAAAATGGTTGCTAGTTGTACCTCGGTTCTAACAATAAGGTCAGATAAAAATGCAATTCTGGCTACATTATCTGAATTTTATGACGTATCATTTAGAAACTTATTGATAAAAAATCGCAAATTACTCCAGTTTTTTCCATATCGGTCGTAAAATAGCTTTCTGACTCGATATTTTACAGGTTATGATGAACCAGGATAGACAGGTTTGTTCAGAGAAAAATTGGAGTCTATGGAACGCAGTGGTACAGAAGTATCACAGCCGACAAGATTCCCTCTTCGATGATTTGTTCGGTAATAACAAAACTCTGCTCGGTAGCGCAATGGTGCGCGATCATAAACAATCACCTAACGCACCATCAGTTCCAGTCACTCCTACAAGTGAAGTAACCGCGCTGAGTCCCAAGGCAGCGCAACGTGAGCTCATCGACCTCCTGAATAGAGCCACTGCTAGTTTGCCGCTCACATACGAACCATCCAAAGATTTGCGACAACTTTTGACACAAGTGAGGTCTAAAAACGTGAATATTTTGCAGTTTTTTTTTTACTTAAATCTAAAAGATAAAATTAATACCTGCTTCCTAGTGCACCTGTGAAATTTCAATTTATTGCCTGTTGTCAATATATTAAGAAGTGTCTTTTGAGGATCTTGCAACTTTGAACTTGCATCGCGCGTCCAAAGACAAACTTGCCCTAATTTTGAAAAGTTTCAATCATCCACAGATCTGGCAGAAAGATGACTTTGATATCACCCGAGCGGAGACGGAAGCTGCGTTATCTTCCGACCGTCCGTGGGGCCTGGGACAACTAAGCAGTCACAGAGGGCTTCTACTTCCCGAAGAGTCGTTGCAGAACCTTTGCGACCGAATCATACGAGCAAATCTTAACGAAGAGACGTTAGCAGCTACTGTGTTGCTAGTAGTCCTGCCATCGGTGAGTGTTATCCAAACGATTTATAAGTAAATCAAATTTCTTGTATGAAATTTAGGGACTGATAACTGCAAACGTCTCGACATAGGTATATGGCGTTCACTAAAAATTTAAACGGAGATTCTTGTTGCATCATTGCTCCTGCAGCTTATTCAAGCTGTGGTACCTGGCCAATTTACTCAGCTTAAGCACATTCAACTCTCTCCATAAACATACAAAATGCTAATATCAAAATCTAAAACTGTACTGAACGAGAAAATCAAATAAGTATTATTTTGTATCGATCTAAACACAGGTTAGCCAAGCGTCATCTCAATTATCGCACCCAACGATGGCTTGTCTGTGTCGCCTGACTGAGCGGTCACCTGAGCTACTGACAAGAGCTTGCCTGGCTCCGGCTCTTGCTCACACCACCTCACCCTTCTGCCCTGACATCGTCGCCAGGCTCGTCTCTAAGGTTGCCTTGGGCATTGCACCTCATGCGCATCTACTGATGAGGCAAGTATTTAATCTATTTTACTGTATAATAGGTTATTGCTATGAGCTCTTAAGTTCGGTACGTGGCTGTTTTCTAATTTGAAATGCTAAGTGCCCAAAAAAATCATCTTTCCCTACGCATTTCTATCGTCTCGAAAGGCGGCCACCAGGACATATGAACTTTCTGCTCAATAAACTCGATTAGTTACAGCATACTCCAAGGTAATAAGAATTTGCTTATAAATTCCAACGCACAGGTCCGTAACGCAGCGAAGTGAGGTATGCGAGCAATACCTGCAAGTGCTGGAGGCCACGTGCGCCGTGCTGCCACCCTCTCCCCAACAGCTCCTCATACACGTAAGGCAAGCGTGTTTAAAGATCATACCTCGGGACAACACCCGTAAAATATTTTCCGGTATTTCAGGCATTAGATAATTTGAATCATTTCCAGTGCAAATTGATTTTGGTAGGCAATACATTCGTTAGCGGCTACGAATTAGACGTTGTTCGTTATGTGCTACTCGAATTTTCATTTATAATTCTACAATGAAATTAAAGTGCGCTATACTCTGCCATAAGCAACATGCGACACGTATTATTCAATTCAGACAATTATTCAGAGAGGAAATATTTTTATGGATGAATGGGATTAACAAAATAACTCGCTGAATAATGCAGGAAAATTTTGAACACATGAATCTAAATAATCAGGGAATAATTGAAGCCGTTCCCAACTGGGAAACTCACGCAGATGAATAGCATTCTCCATTCATTGTGCTTGCATGCAATTTGCCAGAGCATCGCCACAGCCCTGCAGCGCGTATGTTCAGGCCTTCCCACCACAAGCCCGCGTGTGGGCAGAGCTTTATTGCTGGTGGTGAGCTCACTATTGCCGCACCTGAAGAATGTGGCTCCTACCACTGAAATCCTGCAGCAAACTGCTGATGCCCACGCATCTCCTCTGCAGAGAGCAGTACAAGCCAAGCTCAAGAGGATACGCTCTTGAAACTCGTTTTTTTTTCAGATACTCAAAATTTGTCGATTTTCGTACAAATTAAAAATCTATTTGAATAAATTAGTTAAACCTTTTGACTTAGCATTAAAACCTGAACATGGATGTGTTGCAAGATATTCACTGAGGAATAAGAGATATGATAGATAATTTGCAATTTAGTGATAGAGATTTACAAATGGTACAGGCAGTAGATGGCGTTTAAACGAAGAACTTGTGCCGCTTAGGCCAGGATGGTTCTTCACCCTCCTTCAGCTCGCGGTAGAACAGCGCAGATTTATCCCTGCCAGATATAAGTTGATTAGAATCCAGTGGAAATACATATTTCAGGTTGAATTCTATTGTTACTGCGCCAGACCAACATCTTAATACATGTCTGTTCATTCGAGTTTATTCAAGTTAAACAAATCAGCAATCAGCATTAAATATATTAACTCAAGTTGCAAATTAGGCATCTTCTTTCTTTTAAGAGCGGTTCCATCCTGTAAAAAGACCCTACCAGTGCATTGAAGTGCATTCAAGATTCCTTTCAGAAAACAGATTTACTTCTGACAGCAGGAAATATCATGATACTGATTTATAGAACGTATTTTGAGGGAAAATTAAGTAGTTCCTTGGGTTAAAAATTCAACTGAAATTCAGAGAGCTGGTGTATAGACGGCTAGGGATGTATGTTCACGCGCTGTTGTGTGTGTAATACAGGTATGTTAGATACCCGAACGACCGAGTTTATTTGCATGAAACGTTGGCGGGCTAGGCGCGAGAAAATCTCCTTGTAAAGATTTCGCCACGCAGAGAAATACGCGTGCGGGTTGACTGCTAATGAAAAGTGCAGAAGCTCACACCAGAAAAATTTTTGGGATCTACCCATCACTGGCCATGGTCTGCAGCTCTGCAAACGTCGTGGCGGCCACGGCCGTGGCCCGGCAGTTTCGTCAGATTTTAAATATAAATGGCCACGCGAAGTGTCGAGAAATTGATACAACTACAACTCCCTGAATGAAGGTATTAATAAACTACAAGTAACGAGTGAGGGTTATCTACATTTATGTACGACCAAAAGAAACTTAACAGCCTCTAGATAATAAGTGGCAGTGTTTATAAATTCAAAGAATCACAAGAATGAACACTGGGCAACAATTATCGTATCGTCACATCCAACAGTATAAGCGGGATGACAACAGGATGAGAGCAACGCCATGGCCGTAAAGTCAAGCCATTGTAGCCAATACGCTTGGACGGACACGGGAACCTGGGATATAAGCCAGCCATCTGGCTACCTGCAAAAATACGGCCCCGTATCACACCACAGGATCGAGCTACGGATCAACGTTTCCCGGTAAAGTACGAAAGTTCAAACAACGGTTAAACATTTAACAAGGCAGCGGGTAATTCAATACTTGGGTTATAAATTTAGAGTGATATATAAATAGGGATAAATATCTAGTTCAAAGTTTCTTTACAGTGTACGGGTCATATGTCTGAAACAGTATTTTTCTGATTGCACAAGTATTTGTCCTGAGTTTCCCCACTACGAATCAATATTCAAAAGGGCAACATTTTGAGCCTCGTGCACTATATTTGATTCCTAGGTAGCCATTGTATAAACGCACCTTATTGAATGTCTCAAGACAATTACGCTACCAAATTTACGTTTGATTTGATGCACTAGGAAGTGGAGGAGAAATGAGGAAATGAAGAGAATGTTAAATATACCAAAAAAGTAAACCAGAAAGCGGTATCATACACTGAAAACTGTGGTAAAGAATATATCTGGATATACTTTTTGATGCAAGTGTACTGTTCAATTGCCTTGTTTCATGTATACCTGATGAGGGAAGAGTTTATGGATGCAGTACTCAATATGTACCTGAAAACCAAAGAGCTTATTTATGCACAACTCAATTGCTTATTAAATATCACGTGAGATGCAAAATACCTGAAGAGCGTCAGGCGCCGCACTTCGATGTAGTCCAGAGTGCAGCCTGCCAGATAGCCAGCAAACACTATGGCCATGAGATGCCACTTTACCGCTCTTGGGGTAACATGTGCGAAGAAATTCGTCTGTAGAATATTCAACAATCAATTATATTGATCATACAGTCATCAATTCAGTACATTTATTTGGAATTCAACATTTAGTAAATGCAACAAATTTTTTGGTAATAATTATTACCTAAGAGTCCACAATGATAAAAATCTAGTCTTTGGTCAATCTCCGCAGATGATAGGTGCAGGGCAAATAATTTGATATCACTTATAGTCTTCTGTCATTGTATTGATCTTAATTTGTGTAATCTTGTTACAAATCTTAGTTCCAGCAATTGGGTTATAAATTTAGAGTGATATATGAATAGGGATAAATATCTAGTTCAAAGTTTCTTTACAGTGTACGGGTCATATGTCTGAAACAGTATTTTTCTGATTGCACAAGTATTTGTCCTGAGTTTCCCCACTACGAATCAATATTCAAAAGGGCAACATTTTGAGCCTCGTGCACTATATTTGATTCCTAGGTAGCCATTGTATAAACGCACCTTATTGAATGTCTCAAGACAATTACGCTACCAAATTTACGTTTGATTTGATGCACTAGGAAGTGGAGGAGAAATGAGGAAATGAAGAGAATGTTAAATATACCAAAAAAGTAAACCAGAAAGCGGTATCATACACTGAAAACTGTGGTAAAGAATATATCTGGATATACTTTTTGATGCAAGTGTACTGTTCAATTGCCTTGTTTCATGTATACCTGATGAGGGAAGAGTTTATGGATGCAGTACTCAATATGTACCTGAAAACCAATGAGCTTATTTATGCACAACTCAATTGCTTATTAAATATCACGTGAGATGCAAAATACCTGAAGAGCGTCAGGCGCCGCACTTCGATGTAGTCCAGAGTGCAGCCTGCCAGATAGCCAGCAAACACTATGGCCATGAGATGCCACTTTACCGCTCTTGGGGTAACATGTGCGAAGAAATTCGTCTGTAGAATATTCAACAATCAATTATATTGATCATACAGTCATCAATTCAGTACATTTATTTGGAATTCAACATTTAGTAAATGCAACAAATTTTTTGGTAATAATTATTACCTAAGAGTCCACAATGATAAAAATCTAGTCTTTGGTCAATCTCCGCAGATGATAGGTGCAGGGCAAATAATTTGATATCACTTATAGTCTTCTGTCATTGTATTGATCTTAATTTGTGTAATCTTGTTACAAATCTTAGTTCCAGCAAAAAACTAGCAAACAGTATGGGCAACAAATCTTTAATATCAATGAAGTATATAATGATAACTGATCAATGCTCTGTAATTGGAGTATTTTATTTGATCTGAAATCATACAATGAATTACAAAAGATGATGACAGCTTAGCTGCTGGTCTAATGATGTCAAAACAGTAGTAGAAACCAGGTCTTGTGCAGGTTCAAGACTCAAGTCCAGTCTATAATCTACAGTGGCAAATACTGCAGGATATCTTATTCACCAATAAACCTGTTAGCAGTTTGAATGTTATAACTTTGATACAAGTAATTACTTGCTTGAATAAGCTTGCATTTTTACTTGCAGCTTTAGTATATGTTTCTTGACTTGGGAGGAACATTTGAATCAGGTTTTACATAAGAAGTTTGTGAAACCTGCTTCAAATGTTCCCAAAAGATTTCCCAGTATTTTGGGAAATCTTTTTAGTTGGATGTACATAAATGTTACTGAAAGAGGTAGCAAGATACCTTTATCAAATTTACCCATGACCCATGCAAGTCATTTATGTATGGCTTGTAATATTTGACAAAATTTGACAAAATATTTGACAAATAGTATCGGACTCAAATTCCCCCAACTCCATTAATACACTTCTCTGAACAACAGATACAATAAACAAGACCACGTTAATATATATATACACACACATCAAATTCATTTATAATTGAAATGTATACTTTTTACAAATATCAAGCTTGTCTGTTCATCACCCATGCTTGTGGATGACATTGAACTGGAAACAATTTTGGTCATTTATACATACATACTTACTAAAATAAAATTTGAACACAACATGTGACAGGCAATTGCAGGTGCATGTATTAAAAGATTTTTGACCATGCAAAATCCAATTCAAGAAGAATTTTGTGCAAATTGTGGTTGAAATACCAAATATGAAGTTTATTTTGAGAAGAACTTGGCTGGAGGCTTCTGCCTCCACTATGTCAGAGAAAATCTGTCATATTGCCAGGACCACAAAGATGGGCTTAGCAGTATGACTGATCTGTGAAGTTAGCCTGCACGAGAAATTATGTTCAAAATAAAAAAATGTCAAAATTTGATTCCAGCAATTCTGGGTAATGGCTCAGTAAAACATGGCTACACATGTGAAAAGCAAGAACTTGCAAAATAAATGATTGTCTAAATGAAAAAAGTTTCATTAAAGAAAGCCCACACAGCCAAACCCCTTGCTTCACTTAAGTTGAACTGGGAAAGCTGGCAGATGCCACCTATGATTCAAATAAAAAATGCTGATTCTCATGGACAATTTCACCTATTTTTATGGCCCTTGTCAATTTCTGGAGTGGAAATTGAGAAAAAACATTCAACAGAGAAGACCATATAAACAGAGAAGAACTACCATATTTACTACTGAAATGAAATAAAATAAGAATCTTTCCTCATCTTAGTTCAATTCTAAGTAAAATTGTAGGTACCTACAAAAGAAAAAACATTGCATTATTATTTTTGTAGCACAAAATTATTTCTAGAATTCTTACTTCTTCCGAATGTACAGGGTGCGCTAGAGAAACTTACTTATTTGAAAGGTCAATAAAAAAAAGTACTCCAATTATTGTTTTAAAAATTTTTTTTTTTTTGAGAATACAGTTTCCCAAATTTTTTTTTAATACAGTCTTGAAAATGACATCTCATAAATGACGGCCCCCATTGCGCATACACAGATGAAGTCGATTTTTGAAATTTTTATCCACTCAATGCAGCATATCAATCGGTATTTTGGCAATGACACTGCAAATGTTGTTCTTGCGGTGTGCTATGGTCCGTGGTTGATCCACTTAAACCAGAAATTTCAAATAACCCCATAAAGAGAAATCACATGGAGTCAAATCTGGAGAGCGTGGCAGCCATTGGAGATCGCCTCTGAGAGAGATGAGGCGGTCGGGGAAATGATGTCGCAATAAATTCANGGTTCTGCCCCACCCTGTATATTGAAAGGTTGAGATTGTATTGACCTTTTAGGCAATTAGAAAGATTTTCCATCCTAATACGAGTATTCTAATTAAAATATTTAATTTCAATCTTAAAATATGTGAATTTAAAACTAAAAACAAAATAATTACAATCATAAGACTATATATTAAACAATTATTTAATGCAGTGAATGGATATAAAATATTTGAATTGTGCACATGTTTATTTCAAACAGTGTTAGCTTTTCTCATAACTATATATAAAATAATTAAATGCAGTGAATGGATATAAAATATTTGAATTGTGCACATGTTTATTTCAAACAGTGTTAGCTTTTCTCATAACTAAGTCTCGTTTCAAGTTGTATGAGGTTTGTTTGGTTATCGTTCAGTTTATGTTTAGTATTGGTTTGTTGGTCTGAATTAAATGGGAACAGTGCAGTCAGTCACTCAGTCACTACTAGTCGGTGTGTATAGAGGGTAGAGTCTGGTAGATTTATAGGACATAAAACTAGTAGATCTATTGATAGTGCTGTGCACTGTGCTATCAGCTACCTATCTGTTATGTGACTCATCAATGTTTAGGAGATCTGCATTCCTCAAGTGTTTTTGTATGTTGAAGCCAGTTAAATGGTCAATATTTAGCTCATTACCTTGCTCCATACAAACTTTACAAAGCTAATGAATAGACTTATCAAAAATTGTTTACCCAAAAATCCCTAAGTGGTGAACACTACCTTGACCTGTTGGCCATTATTGAAGGCAATAAGTGCCCTTATTAGCCATCCATTATGATCCATATACTGTTATTGTTAGTAGGCTAATTGCAACATAAAAAATAACACCTCAAAAATACAAAAAAGTTGAAAAAATCAAAAAAAATCAAATAAATCAAAAAAAATCATTGATTTTTTATTTTTTTGATTTTAAAAAAAAATAAAAAAAAATCGCCAACCCTGCAAATAAGTATGTTTCTCTGGCGCACCCTGTAGTTAACTAAACTATTAATGATACACCATAGGGTAAACAAGGTATATTCCGTCACATTAAGGATGCATCGAGAAATTAAAAACTATAAAAAAATAACTGTATGCGTTACTCAAGTTCTGTTTGCTTTATGCGAGTCTCAAAACACGAAAGCAACAACAAAACGTCACAAAATGTCGAAATATTTATTTAAAAAGCCTTTAGAATGGAAACCTACCAAGTCCCTATATTCCGTCACTGTGTGTGGCAATATTCAGCATGTGGTGAGGCGTATTCCATCCGCGCTTCAAATTCTACTGATATGTAATGCCGTCATCCACGTGTTCGAATTCCGTTTGCTGTGTGAGCTGTATTGGAATACAACATGGCTCTGAATTAGAACACTAATGAATATTGAACAGTGAACACTACTTAATTACGCTTTTAATTAACAACTATTAAGCTTTTAATTAAGCAAATTTTAATTTTTGTACACAGCTTGGAACGATCTGTGTGTGTCCAATTAAAGTTGTGACGGAATTAGTTTTCATGTGTCTAAATCCATTTCTCAACTTAATCATCTATTAATTTATTTACCACTTGATATGTCTAATCAAAATATGGCAAACCTTTTTTCGCTGCCATCAGCCTGTCTAGAACTCTACTGTGCACGTATTTTTGAGACGCGCGACCACGTTGATCATAAAAGATTGGGGAGCAGTGTTTGCCGACATTAGCACGGGCATTCCCGCTTCTATACATTTGAGCTATTTCTGCAATAGTTTTCGGGCACTGTATAACATATGGTAGTGACCAGTCAACGAGAGTCCGCATATCTAAGGTTTCATTTTCCTGGCCTCCGTCTTGGCATTGAGACTTCATTACTGCATAATACGACTCTGCAACGGCCTCACTGCCCCCCAAACTCAGTGCCACATCAAGGACCGTGCAGAGCTCTTTACCAAGAGCAGAGTAGAGCTTTGAGTCTGAGAAAATCAGGGAGTAAAGTTTGCCTTCATCGAGAGTCACAATTACCAACTCGTCTTTGGTTGAAATTTTAATTTCGAAATTACTCTGAAGATTGAAATCGTTCGTCTTTTCTTCGGAGAATTTCTCCACAAAAAAATCATCACCCAATGTACTCAAGGGCTCGCCAGAAAGAAGATGAAAACATTTGGTTCCAACAACATGCAGCAATTCTCCCTATATGGTTGAAACCAGAGTTTCCTTCAATTTACCGTAAAGTGAATGACTGAGTACGGGATCAATTGTAGTCAAGTGCAGAAATTACACCGGCTGGATGCAGTGCTATCAACGAAATTTCTAGAATATGACATAGAAAGAGACAGGGCTTGTAGAAATAACAGAGTAGGGTACAATTTGTTCACCGCTTTCATTGATCAAATGACGTTTAAATCCTTGCATCAAGTTATAAATAATTAACACCTTCTGTCAAAACGTGGACAACCAGCATTACATTTAAGCTGTATTTGGTTCAATTGTATGACGATATACCGATACAAGGGTAATTGTTTTTCACTTTTGCTGGCTTAAAACCTTCTATATACTGCCGTAAACTCAATGAACATTCCTACTTGAATTTCGTTTGTCTCGTCAATTGTCATTGGTCATCTGAGGAAATTGGGTATCGCTATGACATAGTGAAACCCTGAAGTCTAACTAGTTCTTTGTACTAGTAGAAGGCTCATTCTTTCGTGGCTGTGAGCCTGTGATAGCGCGTCGCGTCATTTCTACCTACCAGGCGGGTCAGCTGAGACTGAGAGGAGTCTCCGGTAGCGGAGTCGCCGAAGGTGAATTTATACATTTGTTATGAATTATTTTAAGGTAAATTTGTCGCCAATATCTTCTGAAGGCATAAAATTAGCTGATAATTAGTCGCCAAAGATATTTGAATATTCTGACACTTTGTCCACAGTGGCATCTTGCTGAAACCACACATTCCTAAATCCTAACGCACATTTCTTTGAGTCTTGGAAGAAAAAATTCCTAGATCATGTTCCTGTAATGAGCTCCATTAACGGTAACTGCGTGTTCGTTTTCTTTAAAGTAAAGACCAATTATTCCCATTACTGACGTTGCACATTACTCAGTGACATCAGACAGTAACTTGCTCACAGTTAAGTGACTTCTGGTGAAACTCACGTGGATTTACACCACACCAATAACGCATGTTTTGGTTGTTGATGCAGCAGGAAATGTGGAAGTGAGCCTCGTCACTGAAAAAAACGACCGCGTCTTCAGGCAGGTTGTCAACCAGCATTTCACATGCACTTTGACAGGTAACAAAATTGTGTTCAGTTAATTCTTGCACAGCAGCAAATTTATTTGAAAAAATTTGAGAAACAAACTTGGGAACTTTCTCTTTCAGATGCACCCCCTGTCGCCCCTCGGCCCTCCACCCAACCAACCTAACTGCACAGGAATTTTTTCAAATAAGTAAGTTTCTCTGGCACACCCTGTACCCTGTAGTTAACTAAACTAGGTATTAGTATAATAGTATTAATGATACACCATATTTTATTTCATATAGGCTACCTATCTCCAGCCATAATGATGATCAATGAGCAACTTTTGCTCAAGCCTGATATTCTAGATTTCCAGTTGCCGAAGTTGGGAATTGGATATGTTGGATGTAGAATATCATTCGTCTTGCTTAACTCTATGATTTTACAAGTTTTATATTACCTATTTTACAAGTTTTACCTATGCAGCTCCGGGCTCATAACGATTTCAAGGAATCTGAAATTTTGAATCTTTAACTAAACGAGAAAAGTAGGATATCGAGAAATTTTCACGTCAGTGAAAGACAGCATCAGGCTTTTGTATGAAGAAAGATCCTGTCAAATGAAACGATATTAGATCTCCTGTGAACAAGGCACGAAAAGGAAAAGAATCGGCTACAGGCCACATCAAGCCTACACTTCAGCGCCGACTGCCGAGATCAATATGTTATGTTATAAGCTAACTCACATATGCCATGTTGACCGTTGATTTCCAGCCAAATACTAATCAGATTTCTTTAGTTGTTCAAGACGATCCACTTGACCAGCCTTCCACTGAGCTGTGTGACGTAAATCAGCCCAAATTAATCCACCAACAATCGTCGGAATTAGGACTGATACGCTGTAGCGGCGTATCGTAGCGAGGACTTTCATTGCAATGCCGAATTACTTTGGAGTTCACACATTCTTTGAAAGTGAAAACAGAAAATTTTCGCTGCCGGTTTTCGATCAGTAACTACAACTCAAAGAGTGAGTCCTGAACGGCCAGTATCTTTATTGGAAAAACTTTACTTTTCGAAGCTTACCCTAAGTCTTCATTAAAACCAATTATTTGAAAAACTATACAATTTTTACGACTAACAAATAAACAGTATTGGGAGCCCAGTCGAGAAATCAACTCAAATTTCAAAATCGATAATCTTTAACACTATCCCAACCCGCCAACCGTAAGTAATGGTAGTCAGAAGTTCAGAACCATGAGTCAGAATTCCAAAATATTTCGCCAATTGTTGGTCACAACAGGAGTAGCTCTAAAGTAAAATTGCATCAGTATTTATTCTATTTTTTTCTAACCACACTTCTATTTTGCTTCACTTCTGGCTGTTTATTTCTATGCTTCAATTCTTATAATCGATATTTAACATAATTCTACCGGTCCAATTTATCTGAATTTTGCACACTTGCGTAGTAAATTTAGAGACAATGCATGAATCAATTGACAGAATCACCAAATAAGAGGTCAATCAGTGGCAGTCAATCAATTGTTTTGTATGAAGAAAATTTTGTAAGGAATCTCATACTTCTACAGCAGTTGCAGAATTTCTCGGACAAATTTACGGCCGGCCTTGCGGCCGGTGTCCAAATTCAGTAAGCAAGGAATGTCTCCCAAAGTAATGAACGTAGCTCGATGAAACTTGGTACACGTATTCATTAGGACCTAACGGTGATGTTTAGCTCGTGGAATTTTTTTAGATTTCACCTTAATTCGTAATTTATATGGCGAAACGTGCCGAAATTTACAGTGAGCATGACATTTCTTCTAAACTACTGTACAGTTTTGAACGAAACTTTGAATATAGAAACCTAACCTCCCAACGGTGATGTTTAGCTCGTAACATTTTTTTAGATTTGCCTTCTTTTGTTGTTTTTCCACATTCGTGATTTAAACAGCAATACGTGCTTAAATTTGCAGTGAGCATAGAATTTCTCCTAAAATATTGAACAGATTTCTGTTTAAATCACGAATGAAGTAAGAGTGGAAAAAACTGGCAAACTAAAGCAAAATATGAAAAATTGTCACGAGCTAAACATCCCCGTTGGGAGGTTAGGTTTCTATAGGCAAAGTTTCGTTCAAAAATGTACAGTAAGTTTAGAAGAAATGTCATGCTCACTACAAATTTCGGCACGTTTCGTCATGTAACTCACAAATTAAGGTGAAATTCCAAAAATGTTCACAAGCTGAACATCACCGCTAGGTCCTAATGAATACGTGTATCAAGTTTCATCGAGCTACGTTCATTACTTTGGGAGATATTCCTTGCTCACTGAATTTGGGGAGAACGGCCGCGAGTCCAGCCGCAAATTTGTCCGAGACGTCAGAAAAAATTTATCAGATGGTAGCTTAATTACAGCTGTGTGTTTATGTTCAATAACCTATAAATTCTGTTTCTTACTTAGTCAAAAAGAGGAAATCTGCTGATTATACTGGGCTCTCATCCGTATTACGTATACTGGGCTCTCATCTGGGCTCTCATCTCACTCCAGGCAGTTGAGACGCGACGAGTGGTGAAAATAAAAAATTTATTGCACATGTGTAACATCAGAGACGCCGGCCTTCTTAGAAGTATGGTCTTTACTTGAAGAAGTAATTTCAAAACGCATATTATTTAAAATCTGCTTCTTAATAACCAGTCATTTTAGATTGCCTACCAGAATCTGGTCACGAACTTTTCTACCGGTACAACGTTAGTAGGACATAATTACTCTTCTTAATCAACAAGAAGATGTGATTAAACTCAGTAGAATTACTATCTTTCGTGTAACTTTGATGAAGTATTTCACGAGTTCACGTCTAAGGGTAAGCAGATTATCGGCATGACAAATTTATTCATTCACTGTTAGAATGTAAAGTTCGCAGGCTAAGTAAAATAGAAGCGCTTTGTACAAAGAAGTATCATAAAAAGTTACTATCATGTGCAATAAATTACTTCTATTACACAGCAATCAGATGTATTTCGTGAATAGCAGGATTTGCTGCAAGTATGTTTAACAATTTGAAACATAAACATGATGTTGAAGTAATCAAGTTCACAGCACATAAGTAGCAATTGAAACAACGAAAATGAATAACAAATCATAAACACCTGCAAATCTTTCTCCGTATAAATTGAAGGTCATGTCGAAGATTTGTTTCTCTAGTTTCCACTTCAGACAACATTGGCATGAACCTTGACGACTTCCTCCAAGTCTTCAACTTTGTTGACACACGTGATGAAGCTGTCTAATTTATCTTCATCTAAGGAGATGGGGTTTGAGGGAATGAAAACAACATCCGTGGACTCGATGTCGTAGCCCAACTCCAGCAGACCACTGCGAACCTGACCAATGTCCATCGCCGCACACCAGAACTGCGTAAAAAAATATCCATTATTATTATTATTACGATTATTACGTGGAGCAAATTCGATTTTTTATTGACCTATTGAGTCGTATAAGAAGACCGGTGTATGCATCATGGAAACAAACGTTAGTATTTATAAGATGTCGAACAAAATCTAGAAGTAAATCAGGATATTGGTGATGAAAATCTCTAATCTCTTCATGTTTTTAGATAATCTCTCGTTTTCCAATACGTGATCCAATGACAGACGTCATGAACCGGCGCTTCTTTGCGTGACGTGTACCCAGCACATAACAAACATACTCGTTAATTTGCGCAATAATTGAGTTCATAAGGTTCGATGAAGAATATCTAAGCCTTGCATCATTGCATCATATTGGCAAACATGCATGTGGCGTTTTTGTTGTTGTTCCTTCCATGAAAATTTGGAAGGGTTCTGATCTAATTAGCCTGACCGTCAGGACTTTTCTACATCAATCTCCAGAACATTTCGGCCACATAAGAACATCTTCCTGCTTCATATTTAAAACACTAAGACTTTTCTGTATTCATGTTAAAACGAAAAATTGGAAAATAGATTTTAACTTTTGACCCAATCTAACGACGGTATCATAGATACTATAAATATCACACAATTCCTAAGATATCAGAAAGAATCTTGCTGTACTTCATGGAATGTAAGAAGTTAAACTCAAGTGTCCCATTTGCCACTTTGGCTTGCGCTTCTAAATTCATCAGTAATCTAAAAGGATTTAATACGACACCAACAGCTAATATACGATACGTATTAAGAGAAACATTTACAAATCATAGATGATAAATTCAGCTTAATGAGCAATTTAAATACATCCTTGATTAGAATTAAAAAATATGCACCATAATTTGTGAATTCATTTGATAATCGTAAGTAGGTATAGTTATCATTACGGCATGTGTACTGACCTGGATCATGTCATCTACGATTTCCACTTCCTCAGCTCCAACTTCTATAGCGTGGTCTTCAGCAAGCTCAATGGTTACAGGCTTCTCCTGTAGCTTGGCCGCAGCCACCACCAGCCCACGCTCCCGGAACATGTGACGCACACCACCCAGTTGTCTCTCCTCCTTGAAGCTGAGTTAGAGCAATCAATTGAAATTCAATCTCTTTCAGTACCTAGTGATTATGATAAATTCATATCAGGAAATGGGATAATAAATCTTGTGAGCAAGAAACTTTGGTAGTTGAATTTTTGGCCTGAGGGTTTGGAGAGTTGGATGCAGTTCTGGAGGATTGGTTACTACTTTTGGCATTGATTCTAACATCAGTACTGGCAAATATATGGAATTGTCATTGGCTATTGCTTTGATAAACTTGCCCATATTTCTTGACAACAGCACCGATGAAGGACTTTGGACGTCTAATATTATCAGTGAAGACGCAGATAAAGAGGCACAAACCATCCGGTCCTCTGAATGCTATGTAATGCTCCTTGGCATTAATCATTGATTTCTGTTGAAAAAATAAATAGTATAAATATAAAAAAAAATAGCATAAGCTAGAAGGTAATACCATAATTGCAAAAGACAATTGACTAATTATTTGATTATTTATCACTTAAAATGACAATTAAAAATGATTCAGAGTAGATAGTTAAAAAAACATAGAAATGGTAATATTATATAATTTCAATTGTGAAAATGGATTAAAGGAAATGGAGCCATGAAATGACTAATAAGACTCAAGAAATGCATACTAACTTGACTTTTTTCAATCACATTGTTGATTGTAGCATTGGGCATGTTATTCTTCCTTGCAAGGTCCAAAGCTGCAGCCAACTTGTTATTTGAAATTGGATCAGCAGATCCATCTGAAAAAATCAAGGCAGTAAGCAAGTAGCTAAATAGCTTTCAGTTTTATTTGATGCAGGCCACATTTTTTCTAAAGTTCATACTATATTAAGAACTTAAAGAGTTAACTTCTAACATTATAAGCAAGAAAGGAAATATTGCAGCATCTTTCAACATACAAGAAAAATATTAGAAACCAATTCATCCAGAATGAATAATCAACATTGAGTTATAGTTGCAAGTTTTGTTTTTAACTTCAACTAGTTGTGACTTTGTAAACTTCTAATGATACTTTAAAAGTATACCTACATTTATTTGCAAAGATTATAGAACATTGGAAATGGTCCTCCAAATAAGATACACATTAAGAAATGAAAATTTAAGACCAACCTTTCAGGGCTAACCTAATGCTCATCGTAATTTTGGAAAACAATCTGGATCTTTGAAGATCTTTACTTTCTTTTGTATGTTTTATATTTTGCCATTTGGAATGTCCAGCAAACCTCTTTTGAAAGCAAATCATGTTTTCAGTCTTTAAATTTAGATAAATAACAGGTAATGGTTGAAACATAGATAATTCCCTATATGAGGGACTATGAAGCATGCTTGATGAAGCATTAGGAAATGGCTTATTTGTAGTATTAAATAAATTTTTTACTATAATGTTTGCACAATATAGTTGTCTCATGTTGGATATGTTGAAATGAAACATAAATTTGCATCTGTGAAAAAGAAAGAAGAACATGAACATTACTTTAATACTCTCACACTCACAGCTGCCAGGCATGCAATGAAGCACAGTCACAGTCAGGCTAACGCTCCACCTGGTAGATCCATGAATAAACTATCTTGAACCATAAAATCACCCATCACTCAATGCCATAACAAGAAATTGCTATAATCTTTGAAGATCATTCATAAATTAATAAAAACAACATTCTGCCTAAACAGACACTGGTGCCGGTATACACAGAAAAACTTCCACTACAAATTATTTTGACCTCAGTTACATCTACCTAATAAATTTATTATTTTTTGCTTTAAATTAGTATAAATGACAGGCTGATCACTCAGTGATCACAAGACATGGCAAGCTGTACTGCATTTTATGATCATTTATAGAAGTTTTAGACCAAAATACTCAGTGAAGTTGAAAAAAAAAATTAAATAAAAGCCAAGTAGTATAAATAAAATTTACCTGAAAATAATTCAACTTCACTGTGGCATGATTCAAATGTTAAAAATAGAACAAGCCATGGGCCAATGACACTTCAACACTACAAGATTATTGACACTTCACTTGTTTAAACTAAAGAAGAAGAATGGGCAACTCGAATTTTCATTTGCAACTGAGGTCTCTTGAAGAATAAATAGAAAACAATCTTCAATGTGAGAATCTCATCGTTCTATTACAATTTTAATTCATCTCAATAAAGGTTTAATTTTTTTCCAATTAATCAAAAATTCTGCCACAATATGATAGCTAAATTCACATATTAACATTTCTAGATATAACATGATTTGCCAATTTATTTGTTACAAGGGCTACTGTCAAACAGGGTAATATAGGAGGGGCAGGGTAAATCACAACAGTTGTCTGCTATGGAGTAAAAATGCTATAGCAGCCAAACTAATTGAAATTTTGCAAAACTAAAATTAGTAGTATAAACTTCAACATTTCTGACATCTATGTAGCATAAAGGAAATGAAGAACTGATATGTTTACTATCTCTAAAAATCCCTGAAAAAATGCTGAGAAGTGATATTTTGAAGAAAAGTACTTCTGCTAAAGTCTGTAGTGAAAAAATATATGCTGTACTAAACAATTTTGCCTGAAAAAAAAAACTTGCAGGTGTTGGCTTGAAAACTTCACTGACAGAATTTTTGTACCTCAATCCAAACCCAACCATTTATTATTTTTTTCTCGTTTGCAGTCGATGCTAGGTCTTAATATAGCAGTCTTGTTCACCTGACCATTCAAGGTCTACTTGAATGGTCAGGTGGCTTGCAGCTGCTAATGTGATAGTACAGAAGTGCTGGAGGCTCCATTATTGGGAAAAGGGACGAAAGTGGTACAATCAAAGCAGGGATGTGTTGGTCTCCAACAATCAGCCCTTTTAACAGCATTTCTCTTACCCCTTTCAAATGGCAATTGTTTCAAGCTCTTCTGATGAAACTTTTTTATTCAATTTCTTTGCATGGATAAAAAGAGAAGAGTCCCAGGTTAAGGGGACCGGCTACCCTAAAAATTTCAATTTTGGCGTTTTCCGGTTTTTGTGCTCATCATAAAGCTTACTTTCTGACGCATCAAACGGTACCAGAATCATCTCTCTACGTCAAAAAACGATTTCGTGACAGCTCCCTAAAGGGGGGCGGTTTTGAGGCCCCTTCTGTAATGTCTATGGGATTAATTAGAAGGCTGGACACACTAAAAAGGAACGTCTGACGTAAAGCGGTCAATTATGGCATTATCCGGTGCTTATACTCATCTTAAAGCTTACTTTCTGACGCGTCAAACGGTACCAGAACCATCTCTCTACCTGCATTTTGAGGCACAGGATGCGTCGCAGAATGGGGGGGGCGGTGGGGGGCAGCCTTCACTATTTCAATGGGAGATAATTCGAGATTAGCACTACAAATATTGTTTATAGCAGCCAACACACTCAGTGCCCATCAAGACAGCAAGGTGGGATGTGTGCTGCCAGTCGCTCTATGCCTTGCTGACTTGGTTTGAGGCTTAATTAAGGTATCTTGGCTACGTTACGACTCTTGTACGTCCCACACGGCAGTTTTTTGAGTGTTGTAAACCTCCTACTGCTCTTAGGGAAATCCTATCTCCTCCTAGAGTTTTAAAGCTACAGCAATGAGACATATACCATTCGATTTGTAAAGACCATACCTATTGACTTGAACATCACTTTATTGAATTTCTGCCTCGATACGTGCCTCGATCTTGTAGGACGATATTTGTAGGAGGAGATAGATTTTCTAAAGTAGTACCCGTTTTTGGCGGTTTTCTATGAATTTCACGTTTTCTATCAATTTTTTCAAAAAATTCATAGGAGCAAAATGTTATTTTTTCACACTTTACATATGTATGTGAAGTTTCATGATGATCGGATAATAACTGTAGAAGTTTTTCCGGAGAGTAGCCGGTCCCCTTAAGAGAAAACCATTTTTATAATGAATTTTGCATTATTTGTATGTTTTTTTCAATAATTTCTAGAAGTGTGATGAACAAATAGGTCCTCTATAATGCTTGTTTCCATTTGTATTAAAAATAAATTATGCACATTTGTATAGTATCATTTAAAATAGATTTGCATTCACTATTTTATAGATTTGCATTGCAATTGCTTACCAGAACAATATGAAGATTGACATTTGGGAAGTATCTATTGAACAAGAATTTTAATTCTCTTGACATAGCTTCTGATGCAGGGCTGAAGTATGGAAAAGAACAGTAAATCTTCATATTGTGCTGGTAAACAATTTCACAATTGTCAATTGGTTCTTTTTTTAGATATAAAGATATGCTCCCTGTCCATATGCGATC